ATCTCTTTGAGGTTCGGTCTGTAAAACGGGTTGTATTAACAGTTACTTTTGGATTTTATGAAGTAATAAAGTACTGACTACGAATCAGGTAGTGTTAATAAGTAATTTGTAAACAATCACGGCCACCATCCTGCTACTACAGACCATTGTTCAGCTTAGAACTATTCTATAACAAACAGGAAAAGAAAAATAAGGACATTATTTCCTTCATTTAAATATATTTACAGGCCTCCCTACCCTGTCCTCCTTTTCCTCATTTCTCTACATGCAAGTGAAAACAAGTCTCTGATTTTAGAAGGAAGTTCTCTTGGTTCCCTAGTGCTAGGAACACCACATTAGAGTTTATTCTAGCGGCTAGGACATGGCACCGGATACACTTGATGTGACAAGGCTCAGAAGTGAGAGACTGAAGGCCAGTGGCAGGAGTCTCCCAGGGTACCAGGTCAGGCTGGGGGCGGGGCAAGGTGCCAGGTCAGGGAGGGGGTGGGGCAGGATTTGCGCAAGGCGGAGTCTGTCCAAGTTCTGCGCCAAGGTCCCGAGCTAGAACACGAAACCGATCCAGACCCTAACTGGGTCACAACTTGAAGCCGGAGGAATCAGAACGGGGGCCGTCAGTTCTTACCGACCCGAGGTCCAGCAAGTGCCACACTGCGCTCCACTCGGCTTCCTCTTCGGGTCCGGCGCTGCAGTCCGGCCGTCGGTCCCGCCGGCAGAGGAGCCAGCGCGGGGAGTCCACTACCTCTCCCGGCCTGAAAGACTACGGCCAGACTCTCCAAATCTTCAAATACCAAACACTCACAGCCGAGAAATAATCAGCGACACCCCAAAATCCTAGCCCCAAAACTGCATTCAAGGAAAAAAAAAAAAGAAAACAATTCCTCATTGCCCGGGACGGAAGGAATCCCAGTGTGCCCTGCTCCGCGCCGGTCTGCGTTGCAGTGCATTCTGGGAGTTGTAGGCTATGGAGATTTTTTGTTTGTTTTCTGTTTCGTTTTTGGATTTTTTGCATCTTTAGCAGATTTGATCCTGTCATTAAGATTTGAACACCTGATCCACTAAGAAGAGAACTAAGACTCTAAGGGTTTTAATACCACATTTGAGCAAATATATTGGGTGGGTCTTAAAGCAAATAGGAGCCTAACTTACTCATTGTCTAGAGTAGTCCTCTAGTCTAGTATCAATAAACGGTCTGTGTAGGTGTCAAGCTAAAAAATGTGTACCACAGTTTTGGAGAATAACTAAGATTTTTTTCCTCATTGTTAAAATATCACCCATAGCTAATATTTGTCTTTTTAATATTCAACAAATATTAAAAAGCTGTACCTTAAAAAGTCATTCTATACTAATTTTTAAAATATGGGGGGAAAGGCATTTTGAAAGTAGAGCTGCAGCAGTAACCAAAATACACAACATCCGGAACAATTAATGTTTACATTCTGGTGAGTCATAGAAGATAAATAAGTAATAAACTAATCTTGACAACTGCTATGAAGATAACTAAAATTGGCTTAAAGAGAAATTAATGTTAGGTCTCTGTGAGGAGGGGAGGGTGCAGATGAACAAACCCATCAACAACATGCGAACATTTTAGTCAGATAAAATGATAACAATGAAGTTTTAAGGCTACAGTCAAAACACTTTGGAATTAGAGCAAAATGTGCTATAGAAAAGAATAATTACAAGATAAAGCCAGAGTTGTACATAGTGATCAGATCATTGTAAGACCTTAAGAAAGTTACTGGGATATTTAAATAGGTGGATACATTATGTCATATCCAAAGCCTAGTTGTGCCAGGGCAGCAGGATAGGTTTGTAACAGTGGTCCATTTTATGCTTTGAATATAGCCTTAGTGCTCTGCCACTGTGACTTATTTTTAAAAGAACATGTTTTTCTTCCTTTCTTCTACACCTCTCCAATCCCTTCCTCCTCCTTATCTCATAGGAAATAGGATTACCTTTCTTTCCCATCTGTCCTTGAGTATACACCACCTCAGGGATGCAGTAATTCAGATTTTTGTGGGTGGCACCAAAAGAGCTCCCAAATTAACAAATGAATTACAACTCTGGACAGAACACATGAAATGTAGTTTTTGAATCACCTCTTTAAAAGTCCCCTGCTCCCCTTGAGGGACAGAATCATAGCCTCTGGGACAGGAGTCCTCTGTGTTTCTCCATTGATACCAAAGCAATAAAACTTCTTTTCCCTTTTTCTCAAAACTGTGTCCTCATTGTTAGGTTGGCATTGAGGACAAGGACTGAACTTTTAGTAAAAAATTTGGCAACCCAGATGGAACTCAACAGCAACCTCTATTTCTTGGGCACGCCTGACTCTCCAAGCAGCCCCACTTCCATGTGCTGAGGATGCAAGGTGGTTGGAGAACTTGTTGAGGGCCAATTGCAGGAATTAGGAAAGTCTGCCTCAGGTGAAATCAGAGGAACTATTCCTGTGAGTAAGGGGAGGGACTGAGAGACTCTCCCAGCAGTTGCCTGAGCTTTTTCTGCATCAGAAACCCCAGCCTTCCTTCTCTCCTGAATTGTAGGGTTGCTCCATCTTGGGCCACTTTGAAAAAAAAGGAAACTGAACTTAGTAAAGTAGCCACATCGTTGGCCAACTGGTGATTTCCTCAGGCATTGAGACCCTCGATTCCACACATCTGGTTCCTCTTCATGAGAACATCTGATCCCTCTCTGTGGGGACATCTGTGATGCCACAGGTGTAGGAGACATGGTCAAGCAGGACTTGAGAACCTAGAGATATTCACTTATTTCAGGTCTGTTCTAGGTTCTCATTGGTTTGTTGGTCTTGAATTTGGGAATTCCTCCTATATGTCTATGTTTTTGTTTGTGTCTGTTACTACCTCTTTTAAGACATGTTGATTTTATGAGTAGTCTCTTGGGAAAGTTCTTGGCTGGTCTTTAAAAGGTTCCCATCTGTCAGTCAGATCCTTTCTGGTTGTCTGTTTCTTTTTTGTACAAACTTACAATTGGAGTTGGTCTGTCAGAGTAAAGTGAGGTGAAGAAAGGGCCACCTATACTTATAAGCCTAAGAAAAGGATAATATTTTACTGTAACAATCTGGCTTTGAATAGCTTTTCAAATTATACAGTCTTGCAGTTGGAGTTGAGCTGTCAGATGTACTGTAAGTGGAAGAAATTCTGTATGAGCAGATCTGTCTGTTTTAAAGGTTCCCGTCTGTCAGCCATGGTTTCAGGGTTCCTCTGCTTCACTGTTTCTGAGTTTCTTTTTCTAGTATCTGTTACTGGCCCTTTAAGTATGGGCCATACTACATTGATCTTACCACCAGTGTCTCTTAGGAAGAAAGATCGTCCTGAATGGGCCACCTATTGATAGATATAAGCCTAATTTTATTGATAAATGCTTAAAGGGAAGATCCAGAAGTGACAGACTGAACAGATAGCACCTGTCCCTGAAGGTGCTTTGCCAAGCAGTGCCTCTTCTCCCTCAGTTTTTTGTTCAGCGGTGACCAGTGGGACGAATGATATGTGTCCTTTCCACAGTGCCTTCAGTTCTACCTCAGTCACCACTGAAAAAGGGGTTTTATATGTTACCCTGTAGAAGCAGTAATATAATCAGTATTAGCTTGTTTAGTTTGTTTGTGTGACCAGCTTCCCAAGGAGCAACAGTCCTGAAGTTAAAACAAGAAAATAACTGTATACAGATAACATTAACTTGCCCTAGTTCTCAGGGTATAAGAAAAAGGGTGAGCCTGTGTTCTGTGTGATAATAGGCATTTAGACATATTTAGCCCAGTTACTGTCATTGTTTCCATAATTTGGGAAGGTTTGGGGGAATTGATAGGGGGCATTCAGGGACATGGTGTTGTGTTGTCCACTTTTCTTTAAAGATGGATGCATGATCTGATGATGAACAGTTTATTTTTTTTAAAAAAAGTATTCTGGGGATTTTGTGGGTAAATGTGGTAGATTGAACATGTACATTTACATTTCTCTGCCTCTCCAAATCTAAAATGACAAGAATTTGCAGATATAATTAAGTTATGGATCTTGAAGTGGGGAGATTATTCTACTGGATGAAATGTAGTCACAACAGTTTTATGATGAGGCAATTACCAGGTCTGTGTATTTTGTTTCTCTGGAGGGAGCAGAAAAAGGAAATAGAAAAGGGGGAGAGTTGCTAAGAGATTAAGGTAGATAAAATCCTATTAATACTTCAAAAGCCCTGCCCAGGTTTCGTTTGTCAATCAAGCAGCTCTCTTTGTTTCTCAGCCACACATAAGCACAGTTAAATAATTTGCTTATTTTTCAACTGTTGAACTTGGTAAACCTAACAATTTGTCATGTTCCCCTTCACCCTCCTAAAATATTGCAAATGTCTTCAGGATAGGAATTATTGCTATTTATCTTGTGAATTTTGTGCCTAGCATCACATCTAGAATTTAGTCTGTTTTCAATACTGGTTTTTAATCTACAGGGTGGGTTAAGGGCTGTGTATTTGGGATAGATTTCTAGAGCATTTTATCTGGAATTACTATTCATTACATACATCAGTGATTACATATTTGTCAAAACCTTGCAGATATTATAGAACCCCAGATTATATATGAATGGTCAATTAAGAAGCTTGAAACAAATGAGCATATAGGAAGAAGTTCATGAAGGTGAAAGACACGGTGTAAATTTCATGCGGCTGAGAATTTTTGCCGTCCGTTTTGCTTTTAGTACTGGATCCCCAATACCTAAAACAGTGGCTGGCACAGATTAGGCTTTCAGTCAATACTAGGTTGAAGGATGGATAGGTGAATGAATGAATTAATGAATGAATCAGAGCTCTCCTCCTTAACACGTATTAAGCTAGGGACAGTAGCACACAGCCTGGTCACCACAAGCATGAAGAACCCTAGGTTTCCGTCAGGCCGCTTCTCCTTGAGTGGGCGTGGCTGAGGCGTGCACTTCACCCCGCCCCTCTGCTAGTCTGTGCGGCCACGCCTCCACCACCGCCGCCGCCGCCGCCGCCGAGCGCAAGGGCTTCTGGGAGCCAAGCCTCGGGGTCTCGGGGAAGGGGCTCAGGTGGCCGCCATCTTGGAATGCGAACCGGGTCGCTAAGCTCGCGCTAGGTTAGGAACGACCGCCACTCTGTTACCTGAAGCCGACCTTATCTCCGCCCGCACTGGAGTCAGGGCACCGGAGAATATCACATTAATGGGTAAGTGGGAGTGACACAGGCCAGTTTGGGGAAATCCAGGCTTGGTCCTTTTGAATTCCATTAGTTCTGTGGCCACTGTTTTTATTGACTCGTTTCCTTGCGAAGGGTTCTGGACCTGGCCCTAACAGGGTGTTTCTCAGATTTTCCAGAGGGTGACAGCAGTCGTGGGGGCGTGGCAGCCCGACTTTCCCTTGTAGATTAGAAAGCGCCATGAGAGATTCTTTCTGACAGCCAGGCTGGTCCTTGGAAGGAGCTTTAGGCAGCGGATCTGATCGTCACACCTCAATCGCTCACTGTTTCTGGGTGGTTCTTCTCAGTACGTAGTCTTGCCAAACGTGGCTGCTCACACCTGGTAACCAGTGGCTGGGAGTTTATGGAAATGCCACACTGCAAGAGACTGGATCCTCGGGTTACCTACGTGAAGCAGTTCTACCTCCTCCAGCTGCCCTTCTTGTACCTGCTGGCCTGAGAGCGCTCAGTCCAGGGTTCCACACGTCTCCGTTCCAAGATGAAAAATTTAATAGTGTTTAATCGATAATGCGTGTAAGGATTTGAAAGCATTAAACGCCGGTGGTACTTCAAAAATATGGAACTGACATTAACTCTTGACCGTTTTGAATACATCGAAGAAAGATAAAAGACTTGTGACTTCGTCTCGCAATTTCGGTACTCAATAATGACTCGTGTTTTATAGGAAAGAGGATTTCCTGGCGAGCAAGGAACGCCTCTGTCTTCAGAACTAAGTACTGCCTGTTTGGTTGTAGGGGCGTCAGGTGGGTGCTTAGCTCTTTGTACAGTTTTGTAATTTTTCTAGTGGGAAGGTCAGATACGTGGAAATGAAGTCTTTACTAGCAGGAAAAATTCAATTGACAGATATCAGAAAAAAAGAAAATACTAAGTTCAGATTCTAATTATTTGCTTAACTTAAACATGATTTTGCTAAGAACTGGGTAAAAAATTAAGCTTATGAGTGAAAAAAATTTCTCTTGTTTTGCAAATTTAACGTGATTGTACAACTTTTTTTAATATATATTTAAACTTATAATGCCCCAGCTTTTTTTTTTTTTTTTAAGAATGATTGTTTTAAGTTGTTGATGGACCTTTATTTTATTTATTTATATGTGTTGCTGAGATTCGAATCCAGGGCCTCACACATGCCAGGCAAGTGATCTATCGCTGAGCCACAACCCCATCCTCAAATGCCCCCAGCTTTTGAATCAGTCTTTTAAATTGTATTTTCCTGTGAATAAAACAATTTCATTGGATGGGACATCTTTAGAGATTATTTTCCTTGGCCTTCACATCACATTTAAAGCAAGACAAGAAAACGCAGGCATTAAGTAAGAAGCATACTATAGAAGAAAAAGGGAAAAGTGATATATGAATTTGGGGGCTATATTTTATTTGGATAACAAATTTATATTGAAACATTTCTGTTAAATGTTTTAGTCTGGTTGTCTAGGTTAGCGGTCTCAGAAGTAGCATCTAGATTGCGTGTGTGTGGTAGTACCGGTTTGGGGACACAAAATGATCCAATTAAATGTGGAAAGAAAACATTAGAACCATCTTTTTAAAAATTTCCCTTTTGGGGGAGGGTACTGGAGATTAAACTTAGGGCAGTAGACCACTGAGGCACATCCCCAGCTCTATTTTGTATTTTATTTAGAGACAGGGTCTCACCAAGTTGCTTAGCGCCTCACTGTTGCTGGGGCTGGCTTTGAACTCCTCCTGCCTCAGCCTCCCAAGCCACTGGGATTGCAGGCGTTTGCCATGGCACCCAGCTAAAAATGTCCTTTTTAAAAAAATAAAATTTTTTGTAATTTTATGATGGGGTAGCATATTAGCATAGTAATAGGTGTTTAGAAATAAATATTGAGGATGAATACACACATTTTGCACATCATATGTAAAGATGTGTGATCAAAAAAGCTTAGAGGTGGTCTAGAAAATGTGATATATATAGGTGCTAAATATCTTGAGAGATTTATTGCCATGAATATTCTCATTACAATATTTTCCACTTGTTGGTCATATTTCAGCAACTAATGTTGAGGCCTAGTTTGCTCTTTAATAAACTCTGATCTCTCTTTTTCCTTTTGGAGCTTAAGCTCTTAGTGAGATAGAGGATTTCTTTATATATAAGATAATAAGAGTAATACTAAACGTTATTAAAAAGTTAAGATTGAATAGTTTCTAATGATGATTACTTACAAGTGCATGCAATATTGCTAAAATCCATTAAATATTTTAAAAAGGAATTTTGGTCAAATATAAATGCATTTTAATTTCCAGAATACACAGGGGTTAACTTCAAAGACACAAACTAGCTTCTTTTCTTGGGTGCTATGAATTGAACCCGGGGCACTGGATATGCTAACGCACACACTCTACCACTGATCTATACCCACAGCCCACATTCTCAAATCATTAGTCCATTCCATTCTACCTCTAGCTCTATCACTACTGAAATTTGTCAAACTTTACTGGTGACCTCAAGTTTTCTCCGTTTTTCTGCTAAAATGTGAATTTCCTCAAGAGTTCTCCTTTGATGATTTTTTTTTTATAACTCTCCATGATATTAGATGATCAGTAAGGACCTATGTCAAAGTATGTACTAGAGTCAGTATATAATTATTACAATGGCTACAATTAACAACAATACCAACAGTCTTGACAATACCAAGTGGAGATAGAATGCAGAACATTTGGAACTCTTTCTCATATATTGCCAATGAGAAGGCAATATGTTATTGTAGCTTTGAAAAGCAGTTTGGCAGTTTCTTATAAAGTGAAATACACACTTACCATATTATCCTTCAGTTCTACTCCTAAATATTTACTTGAGAGGAGTCAAAAAACTTATGTTTACAGAAACACTTGTATGTGAATTTTTGTAGCAGATTTATTTATAACCTCCTAAAACTGGAAACAAATCAAATGTCCTTCAGCTGAAAACCAAATAGCTATGCGATATATCCCAACAGTGAAATGCTCCTTGGCAATAGGAAGAGACTAACAATAATGCCAATAACAGGGATGATGCAAATAGGAGGTGGATTCAGAAGACTGAATGCTATACAATTCCATTTATGTATAATTCAGGGAAAAGCATAAGTATACAGCTACAGAACAAATCAGTGGTTCCCAAGTATGAAGCATGGTGGCTGGGCTAGGGAGAGGGTTAATAGGAACAGCATGAGGCAATTTTTTTAGGGGTAAAGGAACTCTTTTGTGTCTTGACTGTGATGGTTTTATGACTATGCATTTGTTCAATTTACAGAACTACAAGCCAAAGTGATCTTTACTGAATAGTAAAAATGAACTTAAAATAACTGAATTCATCATTATTCCCTCAGAAACAAGCAGGCAAACAAAATAACCACTCCTTTGATCCTCTTGATCTTCAAGTTTATTTCCTGTTTTGGGTTATTTTATCATAATACTGAAATGGCTCAAGCTTAAAAACTATGAAGTCATACTCCAATTCCTTTTAGTCCTTACTACATATCTGTTGAATTTGGCTTCTAAATCTTACTGAATCTGTTTCAGAAATACTTCTGGAATCTAACTTATCTTCTATATTTTTATTTTAGTAATATAATTTAGGTCTTCAGCATCTCTCTTTTCTCTCCCCGTACTACTTGAGACAACTTTTTCCTTAATCTCTTTGATTTTATTCTTTAGGATCAAATCTAAATTTCCGAACTGGATTTCAAGAACCACGTATGTTTTACCCTTAAAGCTTTGTTTCTTGTCCCTTTTCTCTTGCATCCTTTTGTTCAGGTACACTGGATTTCTTCCTGTTCTGAGGCTGTACAAGGCTTCTTTTTATTATCATTATTATTTATTTGTACTGGGGATATTTTATTATTTGTATTTATTTAATTTTAAATTTTGAAACAGGATCTCGCTAAGTTGCCCAGGCTGGCCTCAAACTTGTAATCCTTCTGTCTCAGCCTCCTGAGTTGCTGGGATTATAGGCAAGCATCACAGCACCTGGCTATGCCAGGGTTCTTCCGAAAACATTGCTTTTGTGTATAGTCCTGTTTGAAATGCTTGTTGCTTCTCTTTCCTTTTTATCCTCTTCCCTGGAGAATTTGTCTCATCAAGATAGAATAACAGTGAAGCCGTTCAGAGTGCCTCAAGATGTTCTTATAGGATTTAATGCATATGTATTTTGTACTTTATTATACAATAAAATCTTCTCCTTTATTAGTCTGTCTACTGTATCTGGGATGCCAGATAAAAGCCAGCTTCTCCTTTTGTGTTTACTTCATAAGCTGATTGATAATATCATCTGGTTAGGCCTAGTTGTTAGCCTCTGAATTCATCAGAGTAACCTACTAGGTAGTAACTATCTCTAATATTTAACTTAAGTGAGAACACTGCTTTAAACTGATTTTTCTTCATATGTAAATCCAGAATACGATACAGTATCATTATTTTAGTGTTCATATCAGATAAAGCAAACTATCAATGTAATGTTTACTTATGCAATTCATTTTTAAAAGTAAAAGGTAGTACATATACTTCAAACATGAAATTTCTTTTTTTATTATTTTTTTAAAAATTTGTTTTGTAGTTGGAGAGGGACAGAATACCTTAATTTTATTTATTTATTTTTATGTGATGCTGAGGATCAAACCCAGTGCCTCATGCATGCTAGGCATGCTACAGCCCCAGCCCATTTCATAGTAGTACATATACTTCAGATATAAAATTTTATATTATATTTTTATATATACTTAAGTATATCTATTTTGAAATACAATTGTAGCAAAACTTTAAAGATAGAATATATAAATATTGAGAAAGAACTAATTATTACTGGAGGACTGAGCACTGACATTGTAGTTATAACTCAGGTTATGAAGCTTATGGCCTTAGTATTTAATTTAAGACAGTACCTTAAGTAAGTGAAAGAAGCCAGACCCCAGTAAATATTTGAGGTATGCTTATTGAATCCTGCTATTGTATTTCATTGAAAATAAGACTATTTAGTGCTGGCTATTTCTTTATTTTGTCAGAAGCTATAATTTAGAAGTGTTTTTTTTTTTTTTTCTTTTTTGATTACCTAAATAGTTCATTATTATTTCCTGACTTACAGCAATTGTAAGATACATCCTACTTCAGAAAGGTCAAAGTACCATGGGAGGTAAGAGAGTAAGGAAGGTTGTTGAATCTTAATGAAATAAGGGTAATAACTTTGTATTTAGATTAAAATTTGTTATTTGTCTAATACTGTTATGATTTGTACATGATTTGTCCCTGTTAAAACTCAATTTGGAAATTTGCCAACTTAACAGTCATTGTTCAGAGTTGGGCCCTTTAAGACGGATTAATGTCTTGTTGTGGAAATGCATTAGTTCTCATAAATGTGGATCTTATGAGCTAGTCAACATCTTTGTTCCCTTCCCCTCTGCACATGTCTAACTTCTTGCCCTATCCACAAGCCACGCAGATTCCTGTACTTTCCCAGCCTCCATAATTTTGAACTAAATAAACCTCTTTTAAAATAAATTACTCTGACTTCAGGTGTTTTGGTAAAGTAACAGAAAACAAACTTATGACAAACATGTAATTCCTAAAATATTGCTCATTTTGCTCTTTGGACATGAGTTTCAGAATGATCTTTGAGATCTGTGTAATCCGTGAGCCTGAATTTAGTTGCTCTAGAGGAAATATCTTATGTTGTTTTATGTTGTTTTGAGAGTTATCCATGTCTGGTTTTTTTTCTTTCTTTAAGATTCCATGGCTAGTCCAGGGAAAGATAATTACAGAATGAAAAGTTATAAAAATAAAGCCCTAAATCCTCAAGAGATGCGTAGAAGAAGAGAAGAAGAAGGAATACAGCTTCGAAAACAAAAAAGGGAAGAACAGGTCGGTATTTTTAAATATTTATTTATTTATTTATTTATTTATTTTTTAATTTCTTGACATATCATATTCCACACTTTGATTCAAGTGGGTTATGAACTCCCACCTTCACCCCATACACAGATTGCAGAACCACATCAGTTACACATCCATTGATTTACATATTGCCATACTAGTGTCTGTTGTGCTCCGCTGCCTTTCCCATCCTCCACCCTCCCCCCTCCCCACCTCTCCCCTCCCCTCCCCTCCTCTCTCTCTACCCCCTCCACTGTATAACCCTGAGGGTCTCCTTCCATTACCATGCAATTTCCCTTCTCTCTCCCTTTCCCTCCCACCTCTCATCCCTGTTAAATGTTAATCTTCTTCTCCTGCTCTTCGTCCCTACTCTGATCTTATTTACTCTCCTTATATCAAAGAATACATTTGGCATTTGTTTTTTAGGGATTGGCTAGCTTCACTTAGCATAATCTGCTCTAATGCCATCCATTTCCCTGTAAATTCTATGATTTTGTCATTTTTTAATGCAGAGTAATACTCCATTGTGTATAAATGCCACATTTTTTGTATCCATTCGTCTATTGAAGGGCATCTAGGTTGGTTCCACAGTCTTGCTATTGTGAACTGTGCTGCTATGAACATCGATGTAGCAGTGTCCCTGTAGCATGCTCTTTTTAGGTCTTTAGGGAATAGACCAAGCAGGGGAATAGCTGGGTCAAATGGTGGCTCCATTCCCAGCTTTCCAAGAAATCTCCATACTGCTTTCCAAATTGGCTGCACCAATTTGCAGTCCCACCAGCAATGAACAACTGTACCCTTTTCCCCACATCCTCACCAGCACTTGTTGTTGTTTGACTTCATAATGGCTGCCAATCTTACTGGAGTGAGATGGTATCTTAGGGTGGTTTTGATTTGCATTTCTCTGACAGCTGGAGATGGTGAGCATTTTTTCATGTACTTGTTGATTGACTGTATGTCCTCCTCTGAGAAGTGTCTGTTCAGGTCCTTGGCCCATTTGTTGATTGGGTTGTTTGTTCTCTTATTGTCTAATTTTTTGAGTTCTTTGTATACTCTGGATATTAGGGCTCTATCTGAAGTGTGAGGAGTAAAGATTTGTTCCCAGGGTGTAGGCTCCCTATTTACCTCTCTTATTGTTTCTTTTGCTGAGAAAAAACTTTTTAGTTTGAGTAAGTCCCATTTGTTGATTCTAGTTATTAACTTTTGTGCTATGGGTGTCCTATTGAGGAATTTGGAGCCCGACCCCACTGACTGTAGATCGTAGCCAACTTTTTCTTCTATCAGACGGCGCGTCTCTGATTTGATATCAAGCTCCTTGATCCATTTTGAATTCACTTTTGTGCATGGCGAGAGAAAGGGATTCAGTTTCATTTTGTTGCATATGGATTTCCAGTTTTCCCAGCACCATTTGTTGAAGATGCTATCCTTCCTCCATTGCATGCTTTTAGCCCCTTTATCAAATATAAGATAGCTGTAGTTTTGTGGATTGGTTTCTGTGTCCTTTATTCTGTACCATTGGTCCACCCGCCTGTTTTGGTACCAGTACCATGCTGTTTTTGTTACTATTGCTCTGTAGTATAGTTTGAAGTCTGGTATCGCTATACCGCCTGATTCACACTTCCTGCTTAGCATTGTTTTTGCTATTCTGGGTCTTTTATTTTTCTATATGAATTTCATGATTGCTTTCTCTATTTCTACAAGAAATGCCGTTGGGATTTTGATTGGCATTGCATTAAACCTTTAGAGAACTTTTGGTAATATCGCCATTTTGATGATGTTAGTTCTGCCTATCCATGAACAGGGTATATTTTTCCATCTTCTAAGATCTTCTTCTATTTCTCTCTTTAGGGTTCTGTAGTTTTCATTGTATAAGTCTTTCACCTCTTTTGTTAGGTTGATTCCCAAGTATTTTATTTTTTTTGAAGATATTTTGAATAGAGTGGTTGTCCTCACTTCCATTTCAGAGGATTTGTCGCTGATATACAGGAATGCCTTTGATTTATGCGTGTTGATTTTATATCCTGCCACTTTGCTGAATTCATTTATTAGCTCTAATAGTTTCTTTGTAGAGCCTTTTGGGTCTGCTAGGTATAGAATCATATCATCTGCAAATAGTGATAATTTAAGTTCTTCTTTTCCTATTTTGATGCCTTTAATTTCTTTCTTCTGTCTAATTGCTCTGGCCAGTGTTTCGAGAACTATGTTGAACAGAAGTGGAGAGAGAGGGCATCCCTGTCTTGTTCCAGATTTTAGAGGGAATGCCTTCAGTTTTTCTCCATTCAGAATGATGCTAGCATGAGCCTTAGCATAGATTGCTTTTACAATATTGAGGTATGTTCCTGTTATCCCTAGTTTTTCTAGAGTTTTGAACATAAAGGGATGCTGTACTTTGTCGAATGCTTTTTCCGCATCTATTGAGATGATCACATGGTTCTTATTTTTAAGTCTATTGATGTGGTGAATAACATTTATTGATTTCCTTATATTGAACCAGCCTTGCATCCCAGGGATGAATCCTACTTGATCATGATGTACAATTTTTTTGATATGTTTTTGTATCCGATTCGCCAGAATTTTATTGAGGATTTTTGCATCTAGGTTCATTAGAGATATTGGTCTGTAGTTTTCTTTCTTTGAAGTGTCTTTGTCTGGTTTAGGTATCAGGGTGATGTTGGCCTCATAGAATGAATTTGAAAGTTCTCCCTTCTTTTCTGTTTCCTGAAGTAGCTTGAAAAGTATTGGTATTAGTTCTTCTTTAAAGGTTTTGTAAAATTCTGCTGTATACCCATCCCGTCCTGGGCTTTTCTTAGTTGGAAGTCTTTTTATGGTTTCTTCTATTTCCTCAATTGATATTGGTCTGTTTAGGTTGTCTATATCCTCCTGACTCAATTTGGGCAGATCATATGACTTAAGAAATTTATCTATGCCTTCACTATCTTCGAATTTATTGGAGTATAAGGATTCAAAATAGTTTTTGATTATCTTCTGTATTTCTGAAGTGTCTGTTGTGATATTGCCTTTTTCATCCCGTATGCTAGTAATTTGAGTTCTCTCTCTTCTTCTCTTCGCTAGCATCGCTAAGGGTCTGTCGATTTTGTTTATTTTTTCAAAGAACCAACTTTTAGTTTTGTCAATTTTTTCAATTGTTTCTTTTGTTTCCACTTCATTAATTTCAGCTCTGATTTTCATTATTTCTTGCCTTCTACTTCTTTTGCTGTTGTTTTGCTCTTCTTTTTCTAGGATTTTGAGATGAAGTATGAGATCATTTATTTGTTGGTTTTTTCTTTTTTTAAGGAATGAACTCCAAGCAATGAATTTTCCTCTTAGAACTGCTTTCAATGTGTCCCATAGATTCCGATATGTTGTGTCTGTGTTTTCATTTATCTCTAAGAATTTTTTAATTTCCTCCTTGATGTCTTCTATAACCTATTGATCATTCAGTAACCTATTGTTCATTCTCCAAGTGATGTATGCTTTTTGCTTCCTTCTTTTATCGTTGATTTTCAGTTTCATTCCATTATGATCAGATAAGATGCATGGTATTATCTCTACTCCTTTATATTGTCTAAGAGTTGCCCTGTGACATAATATATGATCTATTTTTGAGAAGGATCCATGTGCTGCTGAGAAAAAAGTGTAACTGCTTGATGTTGGGTGGTATACTCTATATATGTCAATTAGGTGTAGGTTATTAATAGTGTTATTGAGTTCTATAGTTTCCTTATTCAGCTTTTGTTTGGAAGATCTGTCCAGTGGCGAGAGAGGTGTGTTGAAGTCTCCCGTGATTATGGTATGGTGGTCTATTAGACTCTTGAACTTGAGAAGAGTTTGTTTGACGAACATAGCTGCACCATTGTTTGGGGCATAAATATTTATGATTGTTATGTCTTGTTGGTGTATGGTTCCCTTAAGCAGTATGTAGTGTCCCTCTTTATCTCTTTTGATTAACTTTGGCTTGAAATCTATTTTATTTGATATGAGTATGGACACTCCTGCTTGTTTCCGAAGTCCATATGAGTGATATGGTTTTTCCCAACCTTTCACCTTCAGCCTATGTATGTCTTTTCCTATCAAATGCGTCTCCTGTAGGCAGCATATTGTTGGGTCTTGTTTTGTGATCCATTCTACTAGCCTGTGTCTCTTAATTGGTGAGTTTAAGCCATTAACATTTAGGGTTATTATTGAGATATGGGTTGTTCTTCCAGCCATATTTGTTTATTTCTGTTACTAAACATGGTTTGTTTTCCTCTTTGATTATTTTCCCCCCCTTTACTGTCCTACCTCCCACTGTTGGTTTTCATTGGTATTTTCCATTTCCTCTTCCTGTAATGCTTTGGCGAGGATGTTTTGAAGAGATGGTTTTCTAGCTGCGAATTCTTTAAACTTTTGTTTATCGTGGAAGGTTTTAATTTCATCTTCCATCCTGAAGCTTAATTTCACTGGATACACAATTCTTGGTTGGAACCCATTTTCTTTCAGTGTTTGAAATATGTTATTCCAGGATCTTCTAGCTTTCAGAGTCTGTGTTGAAAGATCAGCTGTTATCCTGATTGGCTTACCCCTAAATGTAATCTGCTTCCTTTCTCTTGTAGCCTTTAAAATTCTCTCCTTATTCTGTATGTTGGGCATCTTCATTATAATGTGTCTAGGTGTGGATCTCTTATGATTTTGCACATTCGGCGTCCTGTAGGCTTCTAGGATTTGGGATTCTGTCTCATTCTTCAAGTCTGGGAAGTTTTCTCGTATTATTTCATTGAATAGACTGCTCATTCCTTTGGTTTGGAGCTCTGTACCTTCCTGTATCCCAATGACTCTTAAGTTTGGTCTCTTAATGTTATCCCATATTTCTTGGATGTTCTGCTCATGGTTTCTTAACAGTCTTGCTGAGCTGTCTATGTTCTTTTCCAGTTGAAATACTTTGTCTTCATTGTCTGATGTTCTATCTTCTAAGTGTTCTACTCTCCTGGTAGTATTCTCCATTGAGTTTTTAAGTTGGTTTATTGCTTCCTGCATTTCTAGGATTTCTGTTTGTTTGTTTTTTATAACCTCTATCTCCCTGTATAGTTGATCCTTTGCTTCCTGGATTTGTTTGCGTAATTCATTGTGGAAGTGATCTTTCATTGTCTGATTTTGCTGTCTAATGTCTTCCTTGATACTCCAGATCATCTGAAGCATGTATATCCTGAATTCTTTATCTGACATTCCATGTGCTGCAGCTGTTACCTCTTCTAAAGTTGCGTTGACCTGCATTGCTTGTGGTCCTTTCTTTCCTTGTCTTTTCATACTGCTTGCGTATCTTTCCTGCAGGTGCGGGCGGCGGCTCTGCTCTCTCCTTATTCCAATTGGGGTGTTGTGGCTACCACGCCGGCAGGTCACTGGGCCTGTTCTGGGTGCTGGTGGCGGCTCTGTTCTGCCCCTACTCCAATTGGGGTGACGAGTGTACCACGCCGGCAGGCCACCGGGCCTGATCCGCCGGTCGGTTGCAGGTTTGCCTACCCTGCAGGCGCGGGTGGCGGCTCTACTCTGCCCCTACTCCAAATGGGGTGACGTGTCTGTCGTACCGGCAGGCCACTGGGCCTGTCCCGCTGGTCGGTCGCAGATCTGCCCAGCTTTCGGGCTCGGGTGGAGGCTCTGCTCTGCCTCTACTCCAATTGGGGTGTCGTGACTACCCCGCCTGCAGGACGCTGGGCCTGTTCCTGGCACGGGCGGCGACTCTGCTCTGCCCCTACTCCAATTAGGGTGGTGTGTGTACCACGCCGGCAGGCTCCTGGGCCTGATCCGCCGGTCTGTCGCAGGTCTGCCTACCTTGGAAGCGCGGGCGGCGGATCTGCCCTGCCCCTCCTACCACGCCTGCAGACCCCTGGGCCTGATCTGCAGGTTGGTCACAGGTCTGCTCACCCTGCGGGCACGAGTGGCTGTTCCGCTCCGCCCCCACTCCAATTGGGGTCACGTGGCCACCACACCGGCAGGGCCTGATCCGGGCGTGGGAGAAGGATCTGCTCTGCCCCTACTCCAGTTGGGGTGACGTGTGTACCACACTGGCAGGCCACTGGGCCTGACTCACCAGGCTGTCACAGGTCTGTTTAGCTTGCAAGCGCGAACGGCGGCTCTGCCCTGCCCCTCCTACCACGCCCATGTACCACTGGGTCGCGGGTCTGCCCACCTTGCGGGTGCGGGTGGCGGCTCCGCTCCGCCCCCTCTCCAATTGGGGTCACGCGGTCACCACGCTGGCGAGCCGCTGGGCCTGCTCTGGGCGCTGGCGGCGGCCCGGCTCCTCCCCTCTGGCTCGACGACAAATTGAGGAGACTCGGGTGTCTGTGCCTCACCCCCCCTACCAGGATACCAACTGTTTATGTCGCCGCTGGTATTGATGAAGTTCTCTCCTCCGCCGCTTTCTGATGACATCAGATCTCTGCCATGTTGGTATCCTATGCGAATGGCAGCATTTCGTTCCCCTTGCCGGGCAACCAAAGCAACGAGTGAGTCCTGACCGGCCCTCAGCAGGACCCGGACCAAGAAGCAGTTTCCGCGGGCTCCTAGCCCCGGGTCAGGGAAGTTCCGGGAGCCGGAACTCGGCCGCTCCGTGCTCGGTGTAAGCTCCTATAAGAGTAGGCTCCAAGAAGCAGTCCCCGCGGGCTCAGTTCCGGGAGCCAGAACTCGGCCGCCCCGCGCTCGGTGTTCGCTCCGATAAGATCAGGTTCTAAGAAGCACCCAGGCACTGAACCCTAGCAATCTGTCTGCAAGCCGCAGGCGAATGGCAGCCTGAAATTACCTGTTCTATGGCTGAATGAGCTGCGGTCAGTCGAAATCAGGGATGGTGACGTCAGCTTTCCAACATGGTGGCTGCTGGCCTCCTCTGTGGTCTGACCGGTGTGGAGAACCGAGATGGACCGCTTCCTTCCCCCGTCTCGAACCCAGAATTCAGCCCTGAGTACGGTGCTTGCACGGCTGGCAGAAACTGCAGTGCTGTATCCCTGCGTCGCTATCTCCTCGTTTCCCAGCGCGCGCTGCAGACTCTAGCCACGGGGCGATTTGCTGAATAAGCAGTGTTACCCTCCGTGCGACAAACCTCTCGCGTTTGAGTCCCCGTAGCCGATCGTCGTGCGATGGAAATCCTTCCTCCAGGTTCCGGAGCACCCCACTATTGCTGGAAATTCCTAACAAGATATCCTTTAGCCGTCCTGACTTGTCATACTCCCACACAGTGAAGCAGCACACGGGGGCAATGCACTAACCCTAACCCTAACCCTAACCCCCAATATCACAATCAGTTAATCAGTTAATAATATGATCTATCATCTCTCGCTCTGTGGTGTCTTTCACATCTTAATATTTATAGTAGGCACTTAAAAAAAATCCTGTTGAAGTGTGTACAGATTGAAGAACAGTTAGGAACCACAAAGACTATAGCCAACGATCTACATACTGTGGGGTCGGGCTCCAAATTCCTCAATAGGACACCCATAGCACAAAAGTTAATAACTAGAATCAACAAATGGGACTTACTCAAACTAAAAAGTTTTTTTCTCAGCTAAAGAAACAATAAGAGAGGTAAATAGAGAGCCTACATCCTGGGAACAAATCTTTACTCCTCACACTTCAGATAGAGCCCTAATATCCAGAGTATACAAAGAACTCCAAAAATTAGACAATAAGATAACAAACAACCCAATCAACAAATGGGCCAAGGACCTGAACAGACACTTCTCAGAGGAGGACATACAGTCAATCAACAAGTACATGAAAAAATGCTCACCATCTCTAGCAGTCAGAGAAATGCAAATCAAAACCACCCTAAGATACCATCTCACTCCAGTAAGATTGGCAGCCATTATGAAGTCAAACAACAACAAGTGCTGGCGAGGATGTGGGGAAAACGGTACACTTGTACATTGCTGGTGGGACTGCAAATTGGTGCAGCCAATCTGGAAAGCAGTATGGAGATTTCTTGGAAAGCTGGGAATGGAGCCACCATTTGACCCAGCTATTCCCCTTCTTGGTCTATTCCCTAAAGACCTAAAAAGAGCATGCTACAGGGACACTGCTACATCGATGTTCATAGCAGCTCAATTCACAATAGCAAGACTGTGGAACCAACCTAGATGCCCTTCAATAGACAAATGGATTAAAAAAATGTGGCATTTATACACAATGGAGTATTACTCTGCATTAAAAAATGCCAAAATCATAGAATTTGCAGGGAAATGGATGGCACTAGAGCAGATTATGCTAAGTGAAGCTAGCCAATCCCTAAAAAACAAATGCCAAATGTCTTCTTTGATATAAGGAGAGTAACTAAGAACAGAGTAGGGACAAAGAGCATGAGAAGAAGATTAACATTAAACAGAGATGAGAGGTGGTAGGGAAAGGGAGAGAAAAGGGAAATTGCATGGAAATGGAAGGAGACCCTCAGGGTTATACAACAGAACATACAAGAGGAAATGAGGGGAAAGGGAAAAATAATACAAGGGGGAGAAATGAAGGTCAGTAGAGGGGGTAGAGAGAGAAGAGGGGAGGGGAGGGGAGGGGAGGGGGGATAGTAGAGGATAGGAAAGGTAGCAGAACACGACAGTCACTAGTATGGCAATATGTAAATCAATGGATGTGTAATTGATTTGATTCTGCAATCTGTATATGGGCTAAAAATGGGATTTCATAACCCACTTGAAGCAAAGTGTGAAAGATGATATATCAAGAACTATGTAATGTTTTGAACAACCAACAATAAAAAAACAAAAATGAAAAAAAAAAAACAAAGACTATAGCCAGATTTTTTTCTTATTTTTGATTTAAGAAATGTAGCTATAAATCTACGTTCATGGCTTCACCATGTTTCTTTCTTTCTTTCTCCCCCCCCTTCATTTTTATTCCTGAATTAATAAACATAGGGATATTAACTCAGTTAATATGCCATCTGTTATCTCCCTATGAAATGGATTTGCTTTTACATTGATTTCTCTTTATTGCAGTTGTTCAAACGCAGAAATGTCTCTTTGCCCAGAAATGACGACTCTATGTTAGAAAGTCCTATCCAGGATCCAGATATCAGTTCTACTGTACCCATTCCAGAGGTATATTTTGCAAAAAAAAAAAAAAAAATGTATTTTTAATTATACCTCAACAATATTTCATAAACAGTGTTTGCAAAAGATACTAGTCATGCAAAAAATTAAATTTTCTTTTGTGTTTTTAGGAAGAAGTTATTACCACAGATATGGTTCAAATGATTTTTTCTAATAGTGCTGAACAACAGCTAACAGCAACACAGAAATTTAGAAAGCTGCTTTCTAAAGGCAAGAATCATTTTCAGTATGCTTATTTGATATTATAGGATTTTGTGATAGAATTTTGTTTTATTGTTTTGTTTTGTTTTTTATTTAAGATACCTTTGCTGGATATAGTAGGTCTTCATTTCTCTGTAAAGTATCTTTCAAAATAATATCTATTTTTAAAAAATATTATGAAAGTAACATTGATTGTGGAAAAATTGCAAAATATGAAAGAATTTTAAAAAGCAAATATAAAGCTGGGTTCAGTGACACACACTTGTAATCCCAGCAGCTCGGGAGGCTGAGGCAGGAGGAGCCTGAGTTCAAAACCAGCCTCAGCAAAAGTGAGGCACTTAGCTACTCAGTGAGACCCTGTCTCTAAATAAAATACAAAATAAGGCTGGGGATATGGCTCAGTGGTTGAGTGCCCCTGAGTTCAATCCCTGGTAGCCCCCCACCCCACCCCACCCCCGCCACCAAATAAAAGCAAATATAAGAATGATCTTGGTAGAGGCTGGGGTCATGGCTCAGTGGTAGAATGCTTGCCTAGCATGTGTGAGGCACTGGATTCGATTCTCTGCACCACATATAAATAAAGGTCCATCAAAAATTAATAAAATATTTAAAAAAAAAAAGAAAAAAGGTCTTGGTACCAAGAAATAAGGTTGTATATTCTTGTGAAAGTGTTTTGCAGACATGATTTTTTAAATGGTAACATGGCATTATAGAGTGTGAATGTTAAGTAGTAATTTAATCAGTCAGGCCTTACGTTTTCCCAAAGTTTTTGGTTATCATAAATACGCTATAAAAATCATTATATGATCTAAAATTTTCTGAACATATATTTACAAAGTGAAATAGTGGATGAAAGGGAATAAAGTTTATTAATTTGCACTCTCGTTTTCAGTTTGTACATGTATTCTTTTTAATTTACTTTTACCAACACAATTATTTTTTTAAAAGATATGTTAATGTAATAGCATTTTGTATGGTCTTTTTCTGATAGAATATTTTGCCTTATTTATTGACCCTTCATAATTCACAATAGCCTATATATTATTTATACAATTTTATATTGTTTATAAGAAATCATCATTAAATAAAAATATGTCTTAATCTCCTGTTTTATATATGGAATTTATAGAATTAGTAATTCTGATTAGCAATTCTAGTTCTATAAATTCCATATATGTTGATAAGATTTTGAAAATGCCCTTGGATCAGCTATTTTATCTTCCTAATAGAGACAGAATTGAAAAGAAATCTCATGGGGAGGTCTACATAGAATCCATGGCTTTTTCTTGTGCTTTCTACATTCAAGTTTTGTTTTCCATTCTTCTTCCAAGCTTTAGCTTAGCGATATTAAGAAATCCTTATACAATCAAGAATGACTTCCTTTCTTTTTATACTCTTATATTATAGCAGATTAATGAAATTTTTATAGTTTTATATTTTGCCACTTTTTGAGTTTTTTTTGGTACTAAGGATTGAATCCAGGTACACTGTATCACTGACCCACATCCTCAGCCCTTTTATGTTTTGAGAAGGTCTTCTAATTTCCCAGGCTGGCCTTGAATTTACACTTCTCTTGTCTTGGCCTCCAGAGTCACTGTGATTACAGCTGTGCACCACCTTATTTTTATAGACAGCCACCAGCATTTTTATGCTACAACTTCACCATTACTGAATTCTATATTTTGATTCATTAAGGCAGGGTGTGGTTTGAAGGATTTTTTCTCTTCACTCCCTACATGTTTGCTTTGGTGAAAAATTCTTTTAAGCCTTGTGTGCCTGTGTAATACCTTTCTGATGTCATTGAGCAAGTTGTCTGGATTCAGAATTCCTTGGTCAGAGGATTCTATCCTCATTCGCTCTAATTACTCAAAGGGTTCTGTTTTTGTTAATCTGTATTATCTTTTCCTTAGTGGGAAACACTTTTTCTTCTTGGTAGTGGGATTTTACTTGCATAGATTGGGCATACATCAGGAATTATGGATGTTTTCTTTTACTGATTTTCTGTCAGGGCTATTAAAGTATTAGATTTAATACAGTTTCACTTGATCCACCAAGTGTAGGAGAAATGGGAAAGCAGAATAACTAGAACAAAAAGAGGCAAAAACAAGCAGAAACTTTGCCTCTTTTGGAAGCATTTATTTATTGTAATGAATATTCTTACTCTTGATCTTAGAGACATCTAAGTATGTCTCTGGCTAATCCATAGCCTACCCGTAGCTCAAGTTTGTACCCCTTTAATTTAAGTCATAATAATGATATTTTGCTAAAATCACCTTTTCCCCTAGCATGACCAGTCTTGTAGATGTAAATCACAAATCATCCTTTTTTCAAGTTCATTTTTGTAGAAATTTGCGGAAGCAGATAAGTCCTCTATTTTGCTTATGTTTATATTGCCATAATGAATAAAGGTCTTATAGAGTTCATTAACCTTTACAAGTATAGAAACCTTTATTCTGTCGATTCATTTAATACTGGTAACAGTTCATAATATATTAGATTAGCTGCTGATCCAAGTACACTTAAATTGTTTTATTTTAGATGGAAGTAACCATAAATGTGTTGGTTTTAATTCTCCAGGAAGAGACCATATTTAGGTTCTTATCCATGTATATGTTATATATCTATGTCTATATTTAACTGTAGAGAGAGAGATAGCTGATTGTCTGGTACCTACCTCTCTCTACTCTCTAATCAAAAAATCCTGTTTTCTATTGCTCGGTGACTCGCACCTAAAATCCCAGCAACTCAGGAGGCAAAAGGATGGCAAGTTTAAAGCCAGCTTCAGCAACTTAATGAGGCCTTAAGCAACTTAGTGAGACTCTGTCTCAAAACATAGGAAGGGTTCAGCAAGTTAGTAAGGCCCTAAGCAATTTAATAGACTATCTCAAAATAAAACATAAAAAGTAAAACATAAAAAGGGCTGGGGATGGAGCTCAGAGGTAAAGCCCCCCTAAATCCAATCCCTAGTACCAAAAAACAAAACAAAAACTTAAAACACAAAATTCCTTTTTTTTTCTCTCCTAATCTCATTTCCCATGTACCCTCAAAAAAAGCAAAGCAAATTTTCTCATAAATTTAGGGGAAAAAGGATAGTAAAATTAGAATTTTCTTTTGGAAAAAAAGAAAAAAACAAGAAAGGTGAAGGTGCAAACTATAACTGTATAATTTAGTTTTGATTTTTTTTAATGTGGAGGGTAAAAGGATTAAAAATACATATTATTGTTTTATCCTATTGATATAAGTATAAAAACAGTTTAAGCTAGGGTCTCAAATTAATAATTAGAAGAACTTGGATTTTGATTTAGAACACCTGAACAAAATCTTATTCTATAGCTTTATTAACTGTAGTATGAAGAGTAAATGAAAATTTTTTCCTGGGTGATTAGGTAGGTAGATAACACAGTATAAGACAGATTTGGGTATTGGATGAAGGGAAAGGGGCAAGAGTAAGTAAGCATAGTGATATGAATTTGGTTTGGGTTATGCTACCTGTTAAAGAAAGTGTGAAAACAAAACCTCACATTAAAGGCACTTGTAAGTATGGTCTGGAATATAGCAGAGAATAATTCAGTTAAGGAGGTTCGTGAATTTTCACAAATGATAATGATAAGTAGCAATTGAATTAGCAAAATAGACTGATTTTCTAGGAAGAGAGTAAATAGAGGTAAGACGGATCCAAAGGAACACCAACAGAGAAGTTACTGAACAACCACAGAGGGTATTTTTACTAAATTGAAGGTAGAAGCAAGATTTCTTTGTTTTTAATTATTGTCTAGCTGAAATATCTTTCTTTGAATTTTTCATGAATTTCCTAGAGATTTTATGATTCTAAAAACATTTTGCATTTCCTGAAAATTTATTAAGAATATTAGATAGTCCAACAGCATTTCTGTAAAAAGAAATATCCATACAAAACAGAATCTCATATGTTAAGCAAATCATTGTTGGTAGTAAAGAAGATGTCCTTAAAATTGAGAGAAATATTGGAAAGAATTAGTAGGCCTTTTATCCCTCAGTTGGTGTTTTGAGTATTGGATTAAAATATTTCCATGTTGTAAAGGTGAGTTCCTTAATAGGTTTCAACTTAACTGTGTAGAAAATATTTTTTAAATCTCCTATCACTGCAATTAATTTTTGCTTTGCAAAAAACATTGCAGTGGGATTGGAGATATAGCCCAGTGGTGGACTGCTGCCTGATTGACTCCCCAGCACCTAAATCAATCAATCAAATTGCAATTATGAGAAAATTTGTCCTCAGTTATATCCAGTTAAAGTTATTTTATGTGCCCTGATAATTGAAACAGGGACCAGATAAGTGTCTTCTTGTGTCTATATATTAACTGATTTCTTTTTTTTGATATTTAGAACCTAATCCACCAATAGATCAAGTTATACAGAAACCAGGAGTTGTACAGAGATTTGTGAAATTCCTTGAAAGAAATGAAAATTGTACCTTACAAGTGAGTCTGAAGTTTTCTTTCTTAATCTCTTGTAGAAATGACTTTGAAGTTTCCATATTAAAATTCTTCAATACTGACTATATTATAAGCATTCATAAAGTACTTGGCAATTAAAGGAAAACATTCTTCTCATCTGTCTTGCCCTGGGCATGATGATAATGCTTGTTTCTTCTAGGAATTGTTATATTTTATTAAGCAGTATTTTAAAAATATATAAGATTTAATTAATGTTAATAAAAATTCTATGGTTGTTATCCTTCAAAAAATATTTTTTTGTTTTAGGAAACCTCAAACTAAAATGTTAACCCAGTGGTTAAGTTAATTTTGTTTCTTAGTTAACCACAGTTATAATTTTTTCCTTTTAAACATTTTAACTAATCAATTAGTTCCTTTTTTGAAACAAAGAATAAATTAGTATAATCTAGTAAAAATGTGACTAAAGTTTTTTTTCCCAAAGAGCATTACTTTTCAACCATGTATGATTTAAGATGTCTTCTATATAATTTGCTACTAGTGGAAAATCACCAAAGTTTGCAAATATTTTAATTTTTAAAAGAACCAAACAGTTTATCCTCCCTGACTTTATTGCTAAGTAAATTCTTAAGTAAGAGTACAGGGTGGAATTCTATCAGTTTGAGGAATTCAGTAAACCTTTACCTAACTGTCGGGTTTCTGTTCTCAAGACCAAATGGCTCAGGGGTTACTCCAATTGAACGGGGCTGACTGGGTGCGCAAAATAACCACACAAGAGACACAAGTACCTTTTTGTTTGGAGTCACTGTGACATCTCCTCTGACCTTAAGGGTCCGCAGAAAGAGAGAGAACGAGAGCATGCACTGACACCTTTTATTGATTATAGTTCCAAAATATTATATGATATGATAGTTCTCAAACACTGTGAACTTGGCAACTTATTCTGTATGGGGGGAATCAAGGAAGACTTCCCAAAATAGTCTTGAAGGCGAAGGAGAGTTTGGTGAACTGAGAGTAGGAAAATAGTTTTAGGTTAAGAGAATAGCATAGTGTATTCAGGACTTAGGGAACTTGATATTTATTAGTTACTATAATTAATACCTAATGAAATACAATAGTGTAACCTTGGGGTATCGCCATACCATGTATGTGAATATTAGTTCAGGCTATTAGTCTGTCTAAAATCTGTGTGGGGTGTATAATCCAGAATGACCTGCAAACATGTTTTGTTTGCCTGCACACATGTTTTAAAACATGTGAATTAGACTTTTTAAAAATTGGGAAATTTCAAATGAATATCCAGATTTCTTTTTCTTTGACAAATCAGAAGAGTTAGCATTATTGCCACATAGTAAAAGTGAAATTGAACTGAATAGAAGTGCTTTTTTCCTTTTTAGAAAGTTCCTGTTTCTTTCTTTAATCATACATATGCATTCTAGTTTTTCACAGTTCTTTAGTAGGTTTATGAATGGAGAATTTTGTGGAGTAATCTTTTGTCTTCTTAAAATATATGTGTAGTTTTTTAGTAGTAGATGGACACAATACTTTTATTTTATGTATTTATTTTTATGCGGTGCTGAGGATCAAACCCAGTACCTCATATGTGCCAGGCAAGTGTTCTACCACTGAGCTATAACCCCAACCTCTTAATTGTCTTTTGTCTTTTATTTATTTCATTATTTACAATTTGTCACAACTATGGTCTCCACTACTTTTTAGTATAAATTTTTTCTTAGTCTTGCACATAACAATAACTATACTTTTCAGTATTTCAGTAATGGCTTTGTGTGCAATTTCTGTTAATGATGATATCTACCTTAATATGAAAGCTGTCTCTTCAATGTTTTAAGCTATAGTCATTGCTTAGTTTGCCTGTGAATTTATATGTTGCTTTCTGTATTTACAGCTTCATTGTTAGGGAGCCATGGGTTCAATTTTTCTTAGTAGCTTCTGTTAAATTCTATCATAATATAAATTTATCCAAATTCTAATTGAATTGATGTGAATAACTTCTTTGAAACTCTCCTGCTTAAAAGATCATCAGAAATCCTAGTATTGTCTCTGCTAATAATGAAATCTTGATGTTGAACAAATACCTCTAAATCCCTAAAATTCCATTTTCTTATTTTTTATATAAGGAGATTGGGGCTACTTGCTACCTACGGAAACAAGTTCCTTTTATGATTCTGTTGCTCTATAAAGTAGTGTTTCATTTATTTTTGAACTTTCTTCAGAATACTTCTCAAACATCAGCAATTTTATTAATTAAAGTGTGTTATATATTGTTGGTTTTGTAAATTACCATTTATCCCTTCTCAGTTCTTGTTTTTACAGATTGAAGAATAGTATTGTTTTTCTTAATTAAGAGTTTTCATCTATGAAATCTGACTTCACAAAATGGATCTTATTAATCATGTCAGTCTTTCTCTCAGGCTTGTCCAGTTATGTTTTTACTCCTTCTCTTCTTCCTTTTTTCTCCTTTCTGACATTTTTTTCATGGTTTTATTTATTTTACTCTCTAACCTTAGTTTGAAGCAGCATGGGCACTAACTAATATAGCATCTGGAACTTTTCTGCATACCAAGGTAGTGATTGAAACTGGGGCTGTTCCAATTTTTATCAAACTTCTTAATTCAGAACATGAAGATGTTCAGGAACAGGTAAGTTACGTTTCTAACTTATTATATATTATGTAAGTTAAATTTCTAACTTATTATGTATGTTAGGTATTAATTTTATCTTGAAAATGCCATTTGTAATTATGATTTGTAATTTTTTGTGACTAATTTGTACATTGCACTCTTTAAAAACAGTAATTTCTTTTCAGTATCAGATTAGAAGGGTTAAAGAATGAACTGTCTGGGGCATAATCCTAGATTCTTAGTAAGTGTGATATCAGCTAGCATAGGAAGCACTCTTTTTATTTACAAAACAATGTACTGAGACCCAGAAAAGTTAATAGTTTACTTGAAATCATGAATGGCTGGTAGGTTTTAAAGCTGGGTCAATCTAACTAATTATTTTGTGTGGGGGGCGGGGAGTGGTTATTATATTTTTCTGTTTTTAATTATTACATTACTTTGAATAGAACCATTTTTAATGTACTTCATGAATATATTTTCAAGTAAAAGGAAAAATTTGATCAAATATAATTGTACCATCCAAAGAAAATAAATTATTTTGGTATTTTTGTTTCACATCATTTTTATGCATGTTGATCTATAGATCTCTCTACCATTCATCACCTTTTAAAAAAAATCTACTTAATATGAATATTGGGAGTTTTTTCTTATAACATTAATTATTCTTCCAAGAAAATTTTCCTGATTACTCAGTATAAACTCAGATATTTTCTATAATTTGCTATCAATTACTTGATTGTACATTTATTTCCAGTATTAAAATTATTGTGATGAACATCACTATATGTAATTTTCTTATACCTCTCAATTTTTTATTAGAGAAAATGACTACTCTATCAACAGATCTAAAATTGCTAAGGGTCTTTTTACATATTTCAAAGTTGGTCTCTAAAAATCATATCTACATCAAGAGAATATAATAGGGCTGGGGATGTGGCTCAAGTGGTAGCGTGTTCGCCAAGCATGCACGGGGCGCTGGGTTCGATCCTCAGCACCACATAAAAATAAAAAAATAAAGATGTTGTGTCCACCGAAAACTAAAAAATAAATATTAAAAAGTTCTCTCTCTCTTTAAAAAAAAAAAAGAGAGAATATTATACTTCCTAGGATGAGAAATACCTTTACTTTAAAGGATTTTTTGTTTTTTGGTTTTTTTTAACAATTTTTTTTTTGTTGTAAATGGACACAATACCTTTAAAATTATTTATCTATTTTTATATAGTGCTGAGGATCAAACGCATGTGCTAGGCAAGTACTCTACCACTGAGCTTCAGCCCTAGCCCTGTTTATGTTTATTTTTATACAAGTTTTTCTTTCAAAAATTTAAAAAATATGTATATCTAAACTGGAGGTCAGAAGTCTTAATTCATGTTTAAAATGTTAAATTAAAATTTTCCCAATTGAAAAATAGTGTGTACTTTTGTTTTTATAGGAAAAATTCAAAGTGAGAATATAATAAAATAATAATTTGTATTTGCATAATTTCTCATCTAACTAAAATTTAATGAGTGAATAATTTGATCTTTGCCACCATTTATTTTTACAGTGATAATAAAATTTGACTAATCTTAAGTTTATTTTCAGTGATTCATCTAATTCTCAGTTAGTTACTACTTTATTTTTCTATGCATTGTCTCTTTCTTTTTTTTTTCTTTTTGTGGTGCTGGGGATTGAACCCAAGGCCTTGTGCATGCAAGGCAAGCACTCTGCCAGCTGAGCTATATCCCCAGCCCTATGCATTGTCTCTTTGTTTTCCTGTTCTACAGATCCACTAGTTAGAAGGTTTCTTTTCATAGGAACAAGCCTCTAGTATAAATAATTGGAAAATTTCCTGAGTAGATATCTTTTGTCTTTCATACAAAAACTTTTAAAATTCCTTTATCTTATAATTAATTTGTTTAAAATTATAAACTTGAATTTCTAAAACGTTCATTTCTTTCTGACATTACTTTTCATTTTCACATGTTGTAGGAAATTGTGATTTTATTCATTCTGTACTAAAGTATCATTCTTAAGGGAGTATTTTAATTAAGGTTTTATCTTAAGAGTATAATTTTTTCTTGTTTTTTTTTAAGGCTGTTTGGGCACTTGGTAATATTGCAGGAGATAATGCGGAATGCAGAGATTTTGTTTTGAATTGTGACATACTTCCACCTCTTTTAGAGTAAGTGCTTTGTTTAAACTTTTTCCAATTAAATTAATTCTACTTTAAGAAAACTATATCCTCTACTTTGTGTGTGTGTGTGTGTGTGTGTGTGTGTGTATGGTGCTGGATTGAACCAGGGCCTTGTGCATACAGTGCAAGCACTCTACTGACTCCTCTATTATATTTTACAATATACAATTAAGTTTTTCAGTAGTGTTTTCTAATTTTGTTTACTGATGCCCACAGTGGCTTGAAAGTAGGTAAAACCAGAAAAAAATTTTCAAATTGTATAATTTCTGTATCTTTTAGGTTCTCTTAAATCAACTTGCAAGGAGGAAACATTTATTAGACTCATGGTTTCAGAGATTTCAGTCCATAGTTATTTGGCCCTATTACTTTGAGCATGTGGCAAGACAGAACATCATAGCAGGGAGCATATGTTGGAGCAAAGCTGCTTAATTTATAGCTATTGGGAAACAAAAAGATCAAGATCCACTTCAAGGGCATGCCCTCCACTGACCTAACTTCATCCACTAGACCCCATCTCCTAAAGGTCCAAGTACCTCCCAATAGCACCACAGGCTAGAAGCCAAACCTTTAGCACATAAACCTCAGTGGACGATGTGGGGAGGATTTAAGGTTCTAACTATTAACAGTAGGTTAGGTGTATTATATGCATTTTCGCCTTACAATATTTTCAACTAATGATGATCTATCAGGATGTTACCCCATCATAAGTCAAAGAACATCTGAATTTTATTTGTTTTGATGCTATTGTAAATAAAATTGTTAATTTTTTTCACTTGGTAATGTTAAGAAATACTACTGATTTTTGGTGTCTATCTTATGCCTAGCAATTTGGTTGAATTCATTTATTGGCAATAATAATTTTTCATGTATAATATTTTAGAATTTTTCATATAAGGTTTTATCATCTGAGAATAGATTTCACTTATTGCTTTTCAATTTGAATTTCTTTTTCTTTTGTAATTGCTCTGGCTAGAACTTTTAGTACCATGTTGCAAAGAAGTAGCAAAAACCCCTATCACTGTCTTGGTTCTTGTGTTGGAATAAAAACTTTTCACTAATTATCATCAAGTATAATAGCTCTGGGTTTTTCCTAAATGTCCTTTATCATGTTGATGTAGTTTCTTTATATTCCTAATGTTGATTTTTTTTTAACAAAACTGAGTTCTTCTAAATATGTCATTTGAAATGATCAAGTGTTTGCCTTCATTTTATTAATGTGGGTTTATGTATTAATTGATACTTATTGAACCATCCTTGCATTCCTAGGATAAAACCCATGGGATAATATAGTATTTCATCTTTTTAATATGCTAGTGGGCTTAATTTCTTAGAAATTTGTTGAGGAATTTTGGATGTATATTCATAAAGAATTCAAAAATTCTAAAACTTTATGAAAATTTCAAAAGTCTGTGCTTTTATTGTACTGTCTTTGGCTTTGGTATCAGGGTAATGGTGTCCTCCTAAAATTAATTAGGAATTGTTATGTGTTTTGGAAGAATGAAAAGGATTTAATTCTTTGTAGAATTCACTAGTGAAACCATTCTAATGCTGAACTTTATTGGAAAGGTTTTAATTAGTAATTTAATATCTTTACCTATTTTAGGCCTATTCATATTTTTTATTTTTTCTTGAGTCATTTGATTGTTTCTAACCGTTTTCTCATTTCTTTTTCATGACCCAGTTTGTTGCCTTTGATTGTTCACAATATTCTCAGATAATCAGATAATTCTTTTTATTTCTGAAAGGTCAATAGTAATATCCTCACTTTGATTTCTAATTGTAGTAATTTGAGTCTCTTTATTGGTCCAGACAGCGATTTGTCGATCCTTTTTTTTTTTTTTTTAAGAGTTTTGTGGCTTTGGATTTTTTTTAAACCTTTTTTTTAGTTATACATGGACACAATATCTTTATTTTGTTTATTTGGTTTTTTATGTGGTGCTGAGGATCAAACCCAGTGCCTCACATGTTCGAGGCAAGTGCTTTGCCACTGAGCCACAACCCCAGCCCCAGTAATTTTGGATTTTATTGACTCTAATTTTTCTAGTTTCTTTGCAGGGTGGGTACTGGGGATTGAACTCCTGTACTCGACCACTGAGCCACATCCCCAGCCCTAGTTTGTATTTTATTTACAGACAGGGACTCACTGAGTTGCTTAGCACCTCACTTTTTGCTGAAGCTGGCTTTGAATTTGTGGTCCTACTGCCTCAGCCACCCAAGCCACTAGGATTACAGGCTTGTGCCATCACGCCTGGCTCAGGAAACTTTTTTTTTTTTTTTAATAATTTTTAGTTGTTGATGGACCTTTATTTTAATTACTTATTTATATGTGGTGCTGAGACTCAAACCCAGTGCCCCACACTCACAAGGCAGGTGCTCCACCACTAAGACTCCAGCCCCTCAGGGAACATTCTTTACATAACTGCTTTTCCACCCTGGCAGTTTCCAGGTAGGCAAAACAAAGACAAAAGATTCCCCAATTTTTTTTCAGGGAATCCTCACACAGGTCCAAGTGCAGATACAGAAATCCAAGGAAACTAGTCTGCTCTGTTCCCTCTGGAACCAGGAACTCACAGTGGGAACAGACTGCCATGTTAAACTCTGCTGTCAAACTGAAGGGGGTTTGAGCTAGGGTAAATTAAAATGTCAGAAAGCTTTCCTGTTGTGAAACATATTTCAGCCCTTTCCTGAATAAAAGTTCTTTTAGTTACTATACTCTTTTGATTATCTTTCAGAGTTCAATTTGATTTTGACCATGTTTGCAACTCTTTCAATATTCCTCAGGAGGGACCAGTTCCCTTCTTTACTGTTTTTACTGATGTCACTCCAAAATGGGGATTTTTTTTCAATCTATATTTCTTTTCTTTCCTTTTTTTTTTTTTTTTTTGTGGTGCTGGGGATTGAACTCAGGGTCTTATGCATGCAAGGCAAGCACTCTACCAGCTGAGCTATACCCCTAGCCCTAGAGTTTCTGTATTTCTGTAGCAGGTTTGTGGAGGTCCTCAAGAGGTTAACAGACTCATGGAAAAGCAATCCAAAGTTTGGTATGTGTGCTTTTATTGTAAGTTGTAAGGATCTGTCATGGCCTTGGAGTTTACACCTTCCTAAAGTTTCATTGACTACTACTTTGTGGGATCTCCTATTTAAATATAAATAACTAGGATATATAAATAACTAAAAAGAACTTATTCTGTTTTTGTGGGGAGCTGTTATTGACTTTTTTTTTTTTTTTGGTACTGAGGATTCAACCACAGCCACATCCCCAGCCCTTTTTTATATTTTATTTAGAGACAGGGTCTCACTAAGTTGCCGAGGATGGCTTTGAACTTTCAATCCTCCTGCCTCTGCCTCCCGAGCTGCTGGGATTACAAGTGTGCAACACTGCACCTGGCCCCTGTTACTAACTTATTGGGAGGCTGAGAGGAAAAATTCTTGTTTTAAACACTCAAGTTTCTTTAGTCATTGAAAATCAGATAAGAAATATTTAGAAGAGTAATCTATTAAAAACAAAACAAAGAATCCCCTTATCAATAAATGATCTTCATTTAATTTTACATTGTATTCCCTGCTTCCTGAATTTGTATAATGTAGTATTTTCATGGTTAAAAGTAATCTAGTACTCTTTAAAATATATAGAAGTAATTAAGTTTCCCACAACACCTACTATTTTCAGAGTTATTTATGATTTAAGAATTTGTTCAGATCTTAGAGTCAAGATTTAAAATATATAAGATATCATCTCCCTCTAGTCAGAATGGCAGCTCTTATGAAGACAAACAACAGTAAGTGTTGGTGAGGATGTGGGGAAAAAGGTACACTCATACACTGCTGGTGGGACTGCAAATTGGTGCAGCCAATCTAGAAAGCAGTATGGAGATTCCTTGGAAAATTGGGAATGGAACCACATTTGACCCAGCTGTCCCTCTCCTCGGTCTATACCCAAAGGACTTAAAACAGCGTACTGCAGGGACACAGCCACATCGATGTTTATAGCAGCACAATTCACAATAGCTAAATTGTGAAACCAACCTAGATGCCCTTCAATAGGCATCAATAGATGAATGGTTAAAAAAAATGTGGCATATATACACAATGGAATATTACTCAGCAATAAAAGAGCATAAAATCATGGCATTGCAGGTAAATGGATGGAATTAGAGAAGATAATGCTAAGTGAAGTTAGCCAACCCCAAAAATCCAAATGCCGAATGTTTTCTTTGATATAAGGAGGCTGATTCATAGTGGGATAGGGAGAGGGAGCATGGGAGGAATAGAGGAACTCTAGATAGGACAGAAGGGTTGAATGGGAAGGGAGGGGGCATGGAATTAGAAATGATGGTGGAATGTGATGAGATATGAAAAATTATGCTCTATATGTGTAATAAGAATTATAATGCATTCCACTGTGATATAAAATAAAATAAAAAGAGATTTAAAATATAGAGTTGTTTATTTTTGTTTTTGAAAATATAATGAATATCTTAAAATATATTGCAAAGAGTTTGTATATCATGATAGAAAATAGCTAAAGTGAAAAAAATGAAGATAAAGTGACAGTTCCTTTTTTCTTTTTTTGACAGGTTATTAACAAATTCAAACAGACTTACTACAACCAGAAATGCTGTATGGGCTCTCTCAAATTTATGTAGAGGCAAAAACCCTCCTCCAAACTTTAGTAAGGTATGAAGAAAATACACAAATTAAGAAATCTGTCTCCATAAACTTTTAAGTTTCCATTGGTAGATTTTTTTGAGGTTAGAATACTAATTTTTGTTAGTATTTATGTTCATTATTGACTAGACAATATTTTCACATTCACAAAATTCAAAAGATTTACCATAAAAGGGAAATTTGCCTTCTTTTCTTTCCATTCATTTAATTCATTTGCCCATAGGCAACCACTATAACCAGATATTTAGGTATCTTGGAGTTGAATTTAGAAATCTTTTTGGAGCTGAAGCTTCCAAAAAAGATTAAAGTTATTCTCCTACTATTGGTTATGAAATTGGGAATGTAAAATAGCATAAATACTTCGGTATTAATTGAGTAGCATTCTCATTCTCTGGTACTTACCCAAGAGATATGAAATAGTATGTATTTTTAAAAAAGTCCCATATGCAAATCTTAATGCAGTTTTATTCATGATCACCAAAAACTGGAAATGGTCTAAATTTATATCATTTGGTGTATGGATAGTACAGTGCATTCATGTGATGGAATACAACTCAACAATAAGAAGCAACAAACTACTGACACTTGCAACAACATAGATTAATCTCAAAAGCATTAAGCTAGATGAAGGAAGCCATGCACAAATGTTGCATTGTGCATGATTACATTTAGTATTTTGGAAACAGAGTCTATATGAATGAACCAGGCATTGTGGTACCAATCATCAAGGCAACTCAGAAGACCAAGGCAGGAGGATTGCCTGAACAACTTGGTGAGACCCTATCTCAAAAAAAAAAGAAAAAAAAAATTTAAAAAGTAAGTAAATAAATAAATAAAAAGATGCTGAAAATATAGATCAGTGGTAGAATACACTGGGTTCAGTCCCCAGGAAAAATGGGGGTGGAATGAGACTGGTGATTACCTGAGGAAAGGAAATTGACTTTACAAGTAGACAAAAGAGAACTTTTCAGAATGATAAATATTCTGAATTGTTATTGAATATTGGTCATACTGATATATACATTTGTTAATATTAGTTTACAAAAAGACATACTGAAATTGTATAGCTAAAAAGTGTGTAATTATGTTCTATATAACTACTTTAATAAACCAGATTTTTTAAAAAATATATCTCTTAAAGAAACATAATAAATGAAATGTTTAATCCCTGATTAATTCATGGATCACAATAAATTTTTAGCTTAAAAAATTTGACTGTGATTCCTACCTTAGATATTGTGACAATGTTAAAACCTGGGTGTGATAATCATATTGTAATAGAAGAATGTTGGATGACCATTTTCTTAGGAGATACATGATAAAGTATTTAGAGGTGATGTATCATGATAATGTTTGCAATTGGTTCTCACATGATCCAGTAAAAAAACAAGAAAAAACACATGTGCTCATGTATGAATATGGAGAAAGTGCAAAGTTGATAATGGCTAGAGCTGGGGATGTGGCTCAAACGGTAGCGCGCTCGCCTGGCATGCGTGCGGCCCGGGTTCGATCCTCAGCACCACATACAAACAAAGATGTTGTGTCCGCTGAAAAACTAAAAAAAAGATGAATATTAAAATTCTCTCTCTCTCTCTCTCTCAAAAAAAAAAAGTTGATAATGGCTAGATCTAGGTGAATAGCATGTGGGTATTGATTGTACTTTTTTTTAAACCAATTTTCTGTACACTTGAAGTTTTTCAAAATAATTTATTAAAAAAGAAAATACATCATCTCCCTTGATACCACCTAGTCTGTATTACTGTTTGTCACTTGGGTTATTATAGTAGCATCTCAACAAATTTTGCTTGTCTTCTTACCCACCCATCATTTTCTTTTTTTTTTTTCAGGAGGGTGGGTACTGGGGATTGAACTCATGGTCATTCAACTATTGAGCCACATTCCTAGCTATTCCAGAAATAAAAAAAAAAATCATGAGTTTTACATTGTATGTCTTTTGAGAACCATCCTGAAATCTTGGATCATACTGCTCTGGATGTGAATCTTTTCTTTGTCTAGTATATCCATGCTGTGTGCTTGAGGTATTGTAGTGCTTGTATTCCGTCCGGAACCCTTATTTTACTTAATGATAGCTTCAGAATTCAGTTTGAATTCTAGCACTTCAGATATGCCAAAGAGAAGCTGTAAATTGCTTCTTTTAGTGAAGAGATGAAAAGTGTTTACCTTAATAAGGAAGGAAGGGGGAAAAAATGTGTTTTGACATTGCAAAGATCTATAACAAGAACAGATCTTCTGTCCATAGAATATGAAGAAGGAAAAAGAAATTTGTGCTAGTTTTGCTGATGTGCCTTATGCTACAAAACAAAAGTTACAGGCACAGTGCTTGGTGAATGCTTAGTTAAGTAGAAAAAGACATTAAATTTGTGTCTTTACAGAAAAAAAGCATAGAATATATTAGATTTGGTACTATTACATGATTTTATGCTTCAACTGATAGTCTTGGAATTTATTTCCTATCTGTAAGGAGTGGGGAGACTGCTATAGTCCTTAGGAAGGAAAGACACTAAGAGATACATTCGATTGCCAATTAAAAAAAAAAAAAAAATCAACCTTAAGGAATATAGAATCAGTACCTATCATGAGAATAAAAAGAGCTGATAGTCAAGCAGTTACTGAATGAATGGAAGGTATTGTTCTCATATGCTACATGCATTCTTAAAAATTTAATTGTACCACTTACTTGTTTTACAAAGAATTTGAGGTTTAGAGATGTTAGGTAATTTTTTCCATGGACACTCAGCTAGTAAGCCATGTTTTGACCCCAGATCTGTCTGACAAAGAGGAAGAAGGGCCATAGAATTTATTTAATCTTTTAAACCCTTTTCCCCACAGATTTGTAAACTGAATCTTAGAGAGATGAAGTAGCTTGCTACTCTGTACAACTAATTGTAGTGTTAGTGCTAAAGGGATTAAGAATCTGTTATTGTCTGTTTAGTTTTCTTAGTTGAAGATCTTATGTGTATATACATATATATATACACACATATATACTTATATTTTCTACTCCTTTGTATCTCAAATGATTATTAGATTTATTCCCAGTAAAGCACCTGTAATGAATAAGGCAAAGTTCATGTATGTTAGACCATCTTCCATGTTCATTATAACAAACACTGAACTGAAGCGTTTAGACTTCTCTCAGTTTTACACAGACAGGAGATACCAAATACATATTTATTATTTTTTTTAAAAAAAACTTCACTTCTTATTGAATATAAGTTTAATAGCAACCATTAGTTTCATGTTCATAAATCTGATCATAATTTTAAAACAATAGGATGTTTTGATTTCTCTGGTATTATTATAGGATTGGTTTTTTGTTTTAAAATAAATTTAAAAGAAACTTGGTTTTAGATAAATAAAAAATTAAAATTTGATTCTTTCTTCCCTTCCAGGTTTCACCTTGCTTAAATGTCCTGTCACGATTATTGTTTAGCAGTGACCCGGATGTGTTAGCAGATGTGTGCTGGGCCCTTTCTTATCTCTCTGATGGACCCAATGATAAAATTCAAGCAGTCATAGATTCTGGAGTCTGTCGAAGATTGGTGGAACTTTTGATGTAACTATAATTTATGCTTTAGAATTGTATGATTATATATTAAGAGTAGCAATTGAAATAATGGCCTTATAAACATCTTAAGAGTCACTGTCTTCAGGAAGAATTTAAAAGCTACCAACCCTACACTTTACAAAGTACCAATAGTCCTAAAAAATTGATCCTTAACTCCTGTCTTATATCCTGAAATATTTCATAAATGAATTTCTTTTGTTTTATCTGATTTTTTTTATGAACGAGTGCTCATGGCTATTAACTTCTGTGGTGGTGCATGAGACATTATTAGTGAACTAAGAACATAGTTCCTGCTCTTCAAATAACCAGTAATCTTGTTTATTATTCATTATAGTAATTAATTGTTATAAAAAGCCATGTAGTGAAAGTCCTTTATTATTTTACTTGTATTAAAATAATGTTTCTCTTTGCTGGGTTCTTATAATTGCTGTCTTTAAAAAGAGCAGCTTTTCCATTCAAAGATGTTATAAAACTTTTTCTTTTAAAGAAAGAAAACCTCCTTGAAAAAATGTCATCTTCCTTCCTTCCTTTTATAAAAAAGCCATAAGTAAGCTCAAACAGGGCACAGGTACCACAAAGAATAGAGGTCTAATAAGGGGTTGAGGCCCCAACATGAGTACAGCATCAGAGGGGAATGAACAGGCAAGTCTAATAGAGAGATCAGGGCCTAGATTTGAGAATGGCATTCACCATACTGAAAAGGCAAGCAGGCTAAAGCAGGGCTTGGAGCCAACACATCATGAGTTAGCAGCCTAGCTGGGTCAGAAGATTGGCCATATATAGGAAAATTAATATCAAAGAAGCTGGTTTCTTGTTATCAGAGAATGGAGATATAAAAATTAAACAGGGGAAAGTCTGAATAACCCTTATGGTGGTAGATTGGAACTGGAACTATCAATGTAAGCTCATGGCTTTCAACATAAAAAGACAATTGTGTGTGTGTGTGTGTGTGTGTGTGTGTGTCTATTCTCTCAAAGGTCCTAGGAGGAATGACACCCCTATACTTTTTTTTTTTTTTTTTTTAAAGAGAGAGTGAGAGAGATAGAGGTAGAGAGAGAGAGAATTTTTTAATATTTATTTTTTAGTATTTGGCGGACACAACATCTTTGTTTGTATGTGGTGCTGAGGATCGAACCCGGGCCGCACGCATGCCAGGCGAGCGCGCTACCGCTTGAGCCACATCCCAGCCCCGACACCCCTATACTTATAAACTGAGCACAGTGAATGGTCAGATCTTGATTTCTCAATAACACTCTCCATTCCAAGGAATCAGGATTCTTAGAGAAATGATTAGTTCCAGAACTGGCACTGAGAAAAAAAAAAATAAGGTGAACACAGAAGGTAGTTAGTGCTCAAAGAATGGAGAAATTTCAAAGATACAGAATCCCACTAGAAGGGGGCTCCCACTGTCCAAAACGGAGACAGTATGAATTTCAAAGATAAATTATAGTAATAATGTATTATAACTTATTGAATAAAATAGAAAATCCACAAGTCCACACTATAAGTAGATTAATATATAGATAAGGCATATAGTTGGATGATAGTAGTAGAAAATCACCATCTGTAAAAATACTGATAGTTACTCATTACTTCAGACAATAAGCATCAAGAGATGCTAAAACTAGTGGTAAAAGTATCTTAAAGAATAAGATTTTTAGCCATGCACAGTGGCGCACATCTGTAATCCCAGCAGCTGGGGAGGCTAAGGCAAGTGGATGCAAGTTCAAAGCCAGCCTCAGCAGAACTGAGGTGCTAAGGCAACTCAGTGAGACCCTGTCTCTAAATAAAATACAAAATAGGGCTCGGGGTGTGGCTCAGTGGTCAAGTGCCCCTGAGTTCAATCCCTGGTACAAAAAAAAAAAAAAAAAAAATACGTTTTTTACAGAGTCTTGGAGTATTTCCTCATGAAATTCTAATTATAAAGGGGGGATCAATAATGGTAAAGTAGAAAAATCTGTCAGATACTGTTTAGTGACCAGAATTCAGTGCCACTATAATGGGACAAAAGAGATACCATATGCCACCCCATAGGATATAATGAAAAAACTATAGCATTTGTGGTATCTAGCTGAAAATATATCCTGAGAATTAATCACAAGGAAACACTGGATAAAAAAAAATGGCTAATGATCTTCAAAAATGTTAAAATCAAGAACATCAAGGGAAGGCTGAAGAACTGTTCCAGATTGAAAGACACCAAAGACACATGGCAACTGGGTCACACTAGATGTCATCATAAATATATTACTGGGAAAATTAGTGAAATATAATGGGATTTGTGGTGTGTAGTATTTAAGAAAATGGAAGGTTTTTGTGCTGTTTTTTGCAACTTTCTGTAAATTTTAAATTCTTAGTATGTAAGTTCCTATTTTTATTTTTAGGCACAATGATTATAAAGTTGTATCACCTGCATTAAGAGCAGTTGGTAATGTTGTGACTGGTGATGATATTCAAACACAGGTAAGTTCGGACTTATTAATATGACAGATTGTTAATGTAATGGATTATAGGTTTATTGTGTTTCATATCACTTGATGACATATTAATCAAAATTTTAGCATTAGTATAATTGTGCAAGCATCCATGACAATGTGCATATTCCTGATAACATGTAATTAACTCAGATATCTATTTAGGAAAGTATTATCTTAGACCTGTATCAATGCAAAGAAGTATATGATGTGGATTCTGCTTTTGGGGGATTTATAATAAAAATATGGAGAAAATAAATATTAAAACAAATTATTTAAGGTAGTAAATATATGCTATTAACTGTCATATAATAGATGGTATAACCAGGCGTGGTGGCACACATCTGTAACCCCAGTAACTTGGGAGGCTGAGATAGGAGGATCATGGGTTTAAAGCCAGCCTTAGCAACAGTGAGGCATTAAGCAACTCAGTGAGACCCTATCTTTAAATAAAATACAAAATAGGGCTGGGGATGTGACTCAGTGGTTGAGTGTCCTGAAGTTCAATCCCCAGTACCCTCCCATAAATGAATGAGCGAATAAATGTTATAAAAGTTTGAAAAAAAGATCAGAGTGCTAAGAATCTGTTCAGTTTCCATAAAACGTTAGAACTAAAGCTAGATCTTAAAAATTAAAGAAGTTCTTATGAGACTAGAAGAGAGCTATGTAATCCTAGATATAGAAGTATAGAGACCTCTGTGAGATATGTTTAAGAGGCATTGAACTTAACTTGAATAGAAACTTTTAATGAATAGGTGATTGATTTTAAATAGGTTAGAAATGGGGTTATAAATGGGAGGGGGTTTTATACTAGATTACAGACACAAATTATGAGACCACAGGAAGGATGGTAAGGAATAACTGTATGTATGTGTGTGTATCTTTTTGAGAATTGTGAAATGTCAAATAAGGTATGAGATCAAGGTTGACTCCAGATTTAGGGTGGAGTTTTTTTTTAAAACACATTAGATTCTCCCTCTTTTACTACCTTTCAGTAGGTTTTTTTCTAACCTACAGGATTTTTTAATTTTACTCTTCTCAAGTCTATTTAGATAATTACAAAAGTTATTAAACAGTTGATAGTTCATTTAAAGTAACTCTCTAAATGAAAATGTCTATCTAAACATACACAGTATTTTTTAGCCAAAATTTCAGTGCACTGTTTTGTACATTCTTCCTCAAGTAAATTTAATGTGAATCATTGGGAATGATTTTGATATAGGAAAATAATTAATATTACCATGGAATAAAGAAATACAGAGAATATACTTATTTACAAAAGAAAAATGGAACAGTAAAAATTTTAATGAAATAGCCTTATTTCATACATTAAGATTTCTTATTATAAAATTAAATGCTTTCAGACTGATAAATATTTTTTTCACTAATTTCATTTTGAAAACTAGAGGTTGGATCCTGACCTCAGTCACTAAATCTTTAAGCAGTTATTTCAGTTGAACTCTGAACATATTCCCCCAAATTGTGACTTTTTAAAAAAACATTGAGTTTGAATGAAGACTCCTATACTTGGTTATATTTTGAAAACAGCATTTTCATTGATAATGCTACAAATTAACTTGCTTTAACTTGTAAACTCGCTTTAATTTATAAACTTGAAGGGTGAGCCTCTGATTTGCATTTTTGTAGATTGAGAACATGGCACTTCCTTATACTGGCATTAGACAAGTTGTGGCAACAGCAGGAAGGAAAAAGATAGCAAGTACCTAAGTTTTACTTTGAGAGGAATTTCTCTGTTTTGATTTTGTTTATTGGAATGATTTTTATACTTAAAAGTAATCCATTAGATTTTTGTATGGGTTAATTATTAAGAAACTTTTTGTTTCTATTTCTTACTTGTTTTAGGTAATTTTGAATTGTTCTGCATTACCCTGTCTCTTACACTTGTTGAGTAGCCCAAAGGAGTCAATTAGAAAAGAAGCCTGCTGGACTATTTCTAACATCACTGCTGGAAACAGAGCTCAGATTCAGGTAAATACTTTCTAGATCTGAGATTAGAGCAGGAAGGTCTAAGGTGCCAGTTTGGACAAAAGTCAGCATTTTATCAGTGATGTGTGTGTGTGTGTGTGTGTGTTGCTGGGGATTGAACATAGGGCTGTGTGCATGTGAGGCAAGCACTCTACCAACTGAGTTATATCCCCAGCCCATCAGTGATGTATTTTAGTGAGTTACTAAAAGAAGGTTAAAAAAAAAAAAAGATTTCTGAAAAGCAGTTTAAAGAATTTGACATGTCCTCCTCTAAAATGTTAATATTTATTTTTCATTATCTAGTGAGAAATGTGCATTTGTATACATAAAAATGTCTAATATTGTGCCGACACACAGTGGTTAGTTTCTAAAACAGGGATTTTTTTTTTTAATGTTTTAAATAAGTTAGACAGTGATCCGTCTTCCTCTTATAGCTTTTAGTGGTTTATTAGAATTCTATTAAGCTCAAGTCAGTGATTACTTATCCATTTTGATGAATCATATGCCAGTGCTTTATCATTTATATTCTGCTGAAAGCTTCTCTGTTCTTTTAAAAGCTTATTTCCTTCTAGAAGAAGAAAGTACCTGAAAGTTTATTGACATATGAGAAACAAAATATTTCCAAAACTTTGACCATTGAGTTTCTTTACTCCTCTACTTGGTAATATTTTAAAAGTATTTTGCGCTAATTATGCTATATCATTTTTTCTCCTCCCAGGCTGTTATAGATGCAAGTATTTTTCCTATTTTGATTGAGATTCTTCAGAAAGCAGAGTTTCGCACCAGAAAAGAAGCAGCTTGGGCTATAACTAATGCAACATCAGGAGGCACTCCAGAGCAAATAAGGTATGATTCAGATATTTAAAAATTGCTTTTTAAGTGTAAGTCAGAATTCGAAAAACACATTTTTTATTTGTCGATGAAACTAACATTATTAGTATGTCAGTTTGTTAACATGAAATGGCAGCATTTGCTGTATCTTTTCATTCACATTGTGTTTTTGTTTTGGGGGGGGGTTTTGTACTAGGGATTGAATCCAAGGGTGGTTTTTTTTGTTTGTTTGTTTTGTTTGTTTGTTTTTTACCACTGAGTCACATCTCCAGTCCTTTTTTTTATTTTTTATTTTGAAAAAGGGTTTTGCTAAGTTGCTGAGGCAGATCTTGCTAAGTTGCTGAAACTGCCTAAGTTGCTGAGATCCTCCTGTCTCAACCTCTAAGTTGCTATGTTACTGGCACAATGGTTGTTTTGTTTGTTTAATTTAATTAACACCATATTTCTTGACAGGCTGGAGATTAAGAATCTGAACAGGAACAGTTTACATTAATTTGCAAAATACAGTGTCATGGGCATTAGAAAAACATAAAATCACAAAAATTTAAGTTATCAACTTATTTAGAGTAAAATAAAAATTGAAAGAGTCATTTATTTAGTGATGTTCTATTCTGTATCAGTTGTTTGCCTTGCCAAAAGATAGTATTATTCTTTTATTTATTTATTTATTGGTATCAGGAATTCAATCCAGGGGTGCTTAAGCACTGAGTCACATCCACAGCCCTATATTAAATTTTTTATTTTGAGACAGGGACTCACTAAGTTGCTTAGGGCCTCACTCACTAAGTTGCTAAGACTGGATTTGAACTTGGCATCCTCCTGCCTCAGCTTTCTGTGCCACTGGGATTACAGTCATGTACCACTGTAGAGCTATTTTTCTACGCTAGTTATCTTTTTTAAATGCACACTTTTAAAAATCTAGATCTTTATTTATTTTACTGACAGTAAAATGGTTGGTACAAAGGGCTCTTAAATCAGTCTGATTTCAAGTTCTGCTCCTTCAGTAAAAGTTATGTGACCTTTACAGTCATTTAGCCTTTTTAATCTAGTTTCATTTTTTTAAAATGAATTCAATAACTGTACCTTAAGTTAAATCTATGCATTTAAAGTGATCAGCACAGTGTCTAATTATCAGCTTCTCAACAAACTACTATTGTTATTTATAATCATTAGTTTTGTCAATATTGATTCCTAAATCTCTTTTTATCATGTACTTTTAATTTTTATCTCCTGTAGCAAAGCTCCACTTTGTTCCTTTAATAAAAGCCTACCTTCCTGCAGAATCTGCTTACTCTGAGGATTCCTTCATGAAATTCAAGACGTCTTAGATTTCTTATAAGTGGCTATTTAGGGAATATTTTCTAGTGAATGTTTGCTTTGTTTTTTTTTTTAATTTATAAAACAGGAGTTAATTGTGATGCTGTTTTATAAAATAGAGGATTTTCAGACTACCTATTGTGAGATCTTTGTCTTTCAGTGCTTTCATTATACTATGATCTTGTTCTCTCAGATTCATACTTATGTACAGTGATAACATGTCTCTGCTTTTTATATTTCATTACACCTCATTGCTTTAGTATTCAGTAGTAGTAAAGCAAGATTATTTCATTGTTCTATCTTGTATTTTTTAAATGTTAGTGTTATTTTTATCTGCTTTGGTCTGAAAGTTTGTTCATCTCCAAACAGTTATATATTTTTTTCAATTTATTTTCATTATTATATCCATTCTGGATAGTATTCCTTAAATTTATTAGTATGGTTTAAGTGCCCAATGAGATCATTATTTCTCTAACCAATTTTACCATTTCATTAACTCTACATGTATGGGAAGAGAAATTCAGGATCTCAGATTAGGTTCAGCATACATACATTCCACTAGCACTTGTTGAGTGCCTACTATTGCCAATTGTTGCACTATGTCATTTAGTTACTCTACCAGCAAAATGTTAGGTGCTTTTATGTAATGCTTTCTCTTCTTCATTTTTTTAATATTTATTTTTTAGTTGTATTTTTCAGATTAGGTTCAGCATACATACATTCCACTAGCACTTGTTGAGTGCCTACTATTGCCAATTGTTGCACTATGTCATTTAGTTACTCTACCAGCAAAATGTTAGGTGCTTTTATGTAATGCTTTCTCTTCTTCATTTTTTTAATATTTATTTTTTAGTTGTAGGTGGACTCAATATCTTTATTTCATTTTTATGCGGTGCTGAGGTTTGAACCCAGTGCCTCATGTGTGCTAGGTGAGCACTCTACCACTGAGCCACAACCCCAGCCCCCCCATAATGTTATCTCTTCTAACCTCATAACTGTGAGATAATCATTCATTCAACAAGTTACAATATAGTATTATGGCAAGTGAGTGCTCCAGTGAAGGTATACACTTTTTTTTTTTTTTAAGAGACAGGCACTTTGATTAAATGCCATACTGTTCTCATAACTTTCTAAGGTTGGTACTATTATTAGCCCCATTTTAAGATGGAGAAACAGAGGTATAGAGCAACAACTAAAGGTCACACAGTTAATAAAGAATAGAATTGGGACTTGAACTCATGTAGTCTGGCTTCAGAGCCTGTTTTTAACTTCTGTGCTTAATATGAAGTTTTTGCCAAGTAAACAAATCAGTTACTTCATTCTAGAGAATGGAAAAACAGCTAACAACAAGGAAAGATCAAAGCATTAGGAAGTGAGTGGAATACTTTTGACTATTATTTATAAATATTATTTATACGATGACTTTTTATATTCCTAGAGGTCTTCTATAGTTCTGAAACATAGTATGTATATGTATAAATACTATGTATATATACTGTGTTTTAGAAGATTAGCTAGGATTCTTTTTGTGAGAAAAGATTTTTCTAAAATTTAATTTAGATGACCCTTCTCCCTCTCCCTATCTGTCTCTCTCACCAGATGACCCCTATGTGTATACATAGACTTGCCCTTTTGAAAAACAGGTTGAAAATATGATTCTTAGTGCTCATATGCTATGCAAAAAGAGATGTAAGTGCGAGTTTTCCCATGTGTATACTTTGTAATTTGCAATACCATTTATTGCTAATTATAGTAAATTAAAGACTAGAAGAATAAAGGTTTTTAGATTCGTTTGTAGATAAAAATTTAAATGTTTGTAATATTTGAGTTTGCACAGGAATATGTTTCTTAATTGCTTATATACTATTTCATTATAAAGAATATTTTTGTGTTATTACAGTAAACAGTGTTTATTTAAATCTTTTGAATCTTCCCTCCATTTCTCTTTTTTAAATTATTCTGAAGGTATTTGGTAGCCTTAGGCTGCATTAAACCACTTTGTGACCTTTTGACTGTTATGGACTCCAAAATAGTTCAAGTGGCTTTAAATGGACTTGAAAATATTTTACGTCTTGGAGAACAAGAATCTAAGCAGAATGGCGTAGGCATTAATTCATACTGTGCTCTCATTGAAGAAGCATATGGTAAGCAATTAGTTAAAAATTTTCAATTGCAGTTAATTCTTAATTGTCTGTCATAGGCAATTTTCCCCTCTACTTGCATACATGTTTTTTGTTGTAAGACCAGTATATTTTAAAAAATGTTACCCATAATTCTATTTTCCTAACAACTTATTTCACTGTTTACCTCTTTTTTACATTGTCCTATGCACAAATACTTTAGATCAATTTAATTACAGTGTGTAGTTTTGTATTCTACTTGTTAATATTTTAGAAAAAGTTTATACTTCTCCATAATTTTTATAATTATAATTGCCATATAATGTTATATGAGTGAACAGTGTATGCAGTTTCGGTCATACTCTTGCAGTTGACCTTTAGTTTGCTTCTGATTATGCCAATATAAGCATTTTTCTGCATATAAATTTGTGTCTTCTGTTGAATTAGTTTCTTGGGATAAATTTTCAGGAGTACATTTATGGAATCATAGATAGAAATTTTGATTTAGCTTTTGATATGTCTTTTCATTTTGCTTTCTAAAAGCCTATTACTTGAGAGTGTCACTAGCTCTTTGTGAATGTATTCATTAATCTCATGCTTATTTTATATAGTTGTTGATTTAACAGATGCAAAATGTATCACTAAGTTGTTTTCATGTGTATTTCTTGGCCTATTTCACATAGAGTAGTCTTGTCCATATGTATTTTCTTTTCAAAATGGTATCTTTATAGCACTTTGTCCAGTTTACCAATTTGGCTCTTCTTTTGTAAAACTTTGAATTAATTTTATATTATAGTTGTTTATTTTGAAATGGCTTTCTCCCAGTCTTTATTTTTTTTTTATTTTAATAAAGCAGATTGAGTTGATTTATATTTAATGAATGGTTCAACTTAATCTCCTATTTTTTTTTTTTAAGTTTACAAAATTATTGCCCCTTCTTGGAGGTTTGTTAAAAATTAATTTTTTGTTGACCAGATTTTTCTGATTGGATTCTTAAAATATTTAACTTATTGGAATTTATTTTATAATAGATATGAATCCAAATTGTTTTTTAAAAATTTATTTGTATTAATATTTCCTTGCCTTTATTAAGTCTCTTTATTTTATGCTGATTCAAGTTTTTATTTAGGATTCTTAAATGAAGCTAGAGATGTCACGTTGCGTTTATGTCAAATTACATAATGTTGCTGGTGAAGATATTACATCAATACGAGATAGTAATCACTGATTTACAAGAATATTTCCTTACTACAGTCATTATTTTGACCTTAAGTTATGAGTTTGGGCTATTTCATTACAATAGTATTATTATGATTTTAGAAAGAATATGCAAAATAGGCATAAGTTTTGGCTATCATTATATGCAAAAATTAAGTAAAAATAGCAGCCCTGTTGCCATGGAGTTATGTGTGTTATTGGTTTATTGTTTTGTATAAATATATACTGAAACTTTAAAAATGATTTGTTTTTATATATGTGTTTTATATAATAGGTCTGGATAAAATTGAGTTTCTGCAAAGCCACGAAAATCAAGAAATTTACCAAAAGGCCTTTGATCTGATTGAACATTATTTTGGTGTAGAAGAAGATGACCCCAGCATTGTACCTCAGGTGGATGAAAACCAACAACAGTTTGTATTTCAGCAGCAGGAAGCACCAATGGAAGGATTTCAACTTTAACTTGGTGGAGAAAAAAAATTAATGGCCAAGAAGGGTAGCTTCAGATATTTCCTCTTTGTTGCCAGTGTCAGGAGGAATGTTTCTTGTTTGTTTGTTTGTTTCTTTTTTACATAGAACAGAAAAGTAAGAATTTGACACACTTTTAAAAAGAAAAATTAAACAAAAATGTCTATTCAGATGTAGTCTTTTGTTATAAGTATTTTTTTGTTGTTTGTTTTGGTGTGACTATATGTTTTTGTTATTGGAATTTTTGTATCTGTGAACAATTAAATACATTATGCAATTATTTAACTGAAGCTTGAAAAGGAGAACTTTGATGAAGTATTACATAGTGATTCTGAATTTTTTCAAGTATTCTTGGAAACTGCACAATAGCAGTATAGCTATTGATAATTGCATTTTGGCAGTAAGTCTGACACATCCAATCTACTAAATCTACCTCTGTCTTGAAGCAAAAATAAAAACAAAAAAGCTTCAGAAGCATGAAATCATGTAAAAGCTAAATTAGAATGTGAAAATATTTATTACCTTAAGTTATTAATCACTGTGCTGTAGGTTATACTTTGCAAGTATAAATTGCAACAGAAAACCTGTAAAATTTATTTATAAAACAGAAGAAATATTGTACTGATAATCAATTAAGATGTCACAATTGTGAAGAGAGAAGCAGTTCTTCATGTTGTGCACATTAAGAAGATTACAGAACACTTAAATATTTGTTTTTAACATATAAATGCTATTATACTAGTATATTTTATATTTTAACCAAATGTGCTACCATTTTTGAAATAGTGTTTTATTATGTTTTCACTGTTCATTTTAAAGAGCATCATGACAGTGATGCCATCATGAATCTAAAGTTGTGCTGCATACCTAAAATGATACTGTATTATTTCTCTGACTTTTCAGAGCAGTAATTGAAAAGTTTTATTCTCTTTGTGATGATGAACTTAAGTACTTGAATGACAAAAGTATCCTGAAGAAATCACCTTGTTACGTATTACATTATATTAAGTGCATTTAATATTTGGGCAGTAAGTGATGATATTAAGGAAAATTGGTAAGGATTCTTTAATATGGTTGGAATCTATATTAGAACTTTTTTGTTTTGGGTAATAGTCATACTGCTGCTTATTATGAATTATGTATTAGATTACATTTGTATCAGATTGGTCACTATAATGTGTGTGTTTGCTAAATTAACAGCAAAAACCTCTTTAAACTCTGAAAATTTAAAAGAAAGGTTTCACTAGAAAAATTACATATATATTATATATACACGTGTGTCTATTACTCTCTCAGTCCAGTGCATGGAAGAATTTTCTAAGCAGTTGTGGTACTGTTGAATTATCTTTTAATTTATTGTTATATGCATTCTATTTAGATTTCCAATTATATACCTAGAAAAATTATTTAAAATGTAATTTGCACCTCTTTTAAGATGGGAACTAAAGCAATTTTTATATGATTCATAGTCTATTCTATAAAGAGAAAGATTTCATTTATGATAGCATTTATAATGTTTCTGCTGGAAATCAGAGGCATGTTACAAAAGGAAGGTGTATATAGGAGTACTTTTAAGTAGTATAATACTTTGTAAATTATATATCATGAAACTAAGCTTTTGGCAAAGATACTTAAAATCTACAGCTATAAAAATCCAGGTTTAAGTGGTGTCCATAATGCTAACTTCATCTGCCAATCCTGTTTTATACTGTTAAGTAGGTTGTATCTGTGCCATTTTTATTATGGTGGATGTTATGTAGTTGCATATAAAGTTTCTTTTGCATTATGCGTATTCAAAAACAGGGTAGTTATATTAGATATTGCCAAATTGATGATGAATTTATCAGATAAAAACTGTTTTGTGGTGCCAATGGTTCTAAGCATCAGGTGACAGGGTATTCTGCTCTTTCTATTCAATTGAACTTGATAATGCAGCATAATTTATAAACTAACCAGCTGTGCCTGCTTTTGAGGACCCCATAATCAATATAATAAATCTCTGAGCCAAATCTTCCAAAAAGACTTTTTTCCTTATAGAAAGAAAAATAATATATGTGTGTGTATGCACATGCAGGCACACATTGAATGACCTATCAAGGGAGATTTAAAATGTTTTGCCAATAAAATAAATGTTATATCTCTAAGAACAGAATATGACAAATGTTAACCATTTAAATATAAACTTATATTTAGTTTCTTGGATATGTTACTTGGCTAGTAATTTGTTTATATTTGAATGCAAAGACATTTAACTAAATTTAGGCCTGGTGGTGAGTTTATTAGATCAAACTGAACAAGAGTTTGTTTTTAAAATTTGTTAAAAATACTACCACTCAGACTGTCTTAAAATAAAACATAAAAAGGGCTGGAGATGTAGCTCAGCGGTAAAGTACTCCTGGGTTAAGTCCAAAAGAAAAAAGACAAAAAAATAGAACCACTCTTTTCAAGTGTATCATTTAAAATGCTCCAAAATGTATTTCCATTAATTTTCACTCTCCCTTGTGAAAAAAAAAAATTTTTAATTTGCTTTTGTAAGATTCATTACATTTACATCCCAGAGAAACTGTGCCAAATGAAATTCAATGAAATAAAAATGTGTTATAAAAGGGAATGTATACAACATTAACACATATATCAAGAAGATACTTTTGAAAGAGTTCATTTTATTAAATTTGAATTAAATATGGTCTTTTATTTTGTCTGAATTTAAATTTCTACTAGTTAATCTATGCAATCATGCTTACTTATTTTGTAAGTATTTGACTCACTGACCAGTTTTATTCTGAAAGGTTATTCTAACTTTTAGTGTCCTTAATTTCAATGTCATTTGTCCAATTATTGGTAGTACCAGAACAAGAAAGAAAGCAGGGGGAAAGGAATAAAATCTGCTGGCACAGAAATAAACGTGTAATTTAGTAACTGTAAAACCTGTCTGCAGTTAAAGGTTGATTTACTGGGTAAAAGAAGAATTTATTATCTTTGCCTTTGTATTTTTTTTCTTAAGAGGGAGTATTATAGAAAAAAGTAAATATAAAAAAGCATTATTGGATTTTTTGTTGGTATTCTAAATTCGGCAATCTATTGGTTGCTTAATTGTGAAACTGAAATCAAATTCTTGCTAACTTTTATTTATTTTAATTAATAGTATTGTTTTATGAAATGTGGACATGTTAGGAGCCAATATAATAGGATTCTAAAAGAATAATATATCTCTAAATTCTGATTGGGGGTCAGTTGAGGGGGAGGATATTCTTACTTAAATAAATAAACCAACATATGAGCAGTATGCAATATTATGAAATGTTACAACACTATATTAAAAATAATAAAATGCTATTTTACAATTGCATTTATGTAAATGTGTCTCAATTATTTGTTCTCATGATTGTTTATTCCTAACAGAGAACAAAACCAGATGCCATTATTGGTTAATATTCCATCTGCTTTATACAGCCATCAAAGAAGATAAAATGGAATAAAAAACTTGCTTGATTAATCCAAAAGTAGGCGGAAGAAGAGGAAAAAGGAGACCAAGAAAAATTAGCAAGATGGTAGATCTAAATTCAGTTACATAAATAATCACAGTGATTTTTTAAATGATTTAAAGATTTCAGTTAAAGAGCAAAGATTGTCAGAATAAAATAGTAAGAGCCATATGGTAAATTTGTTTTCAGTTTTTTGAGAAACTTCCGTATTGTGTTCTCCACATCCCTAACAGCATTTGTGATTTTTTTTTTTTGTCTTTTTGATAATAGCCATTATAACTGGGGTAAAATGGTATCTCATTGTGATTTTGATTTCCATTTCCCTGATGGCTAATGATATTGAGCCCATTTCTAGTTACAAATCCAAGAGAATTGAAGTCATACCAAAGAGATTACCTACACAACCATATTTTGCAGTACTGTTCATAATAACTAAGGTACAGAATCAGCCTAGTTGTTTTGTTCTTGAACTTTTTTATGGGATACTGTTAAGTCACTTAGGAAATACTTGATTTTTTATAGGTTTCCTTTTAAACTTTGTGAGGCAGACACAGGACAGCCTTTATTTTATTTCTGAAGCAGTTGCATTCTGAATACTGTGATACTCCATGAATTACAGGTAATTCGTTTCTCCATATCCTTTCAGATGGTTATTTTGATGGTCTTGGGTAGGTAGTGGTCACATGGTAACCAAACACACTCAAGGAAGGACCCTCTGCATATCTCCACTAGTCTGTATAGCTCTGTCACCTTGGGGATAGCATTCTGAGAACTCTGTTTGTCCTGGCCTCCCAACTCTGCCCAAATCTCATCCTGGGTCTCCCTTCCATGTCCTGCAGTCTCCTCTTAGAAGTAAAATGGCAAGTAAAAAGAACTCAGCTAATTTTTCTTTATTTCACTCACTGCTCACTATCTGATATCTGCTCTTGGTTTCATATTTGGCTAGAGGTAGATCTAGTCCTTATTACTACATTTTGGCCAAAAACACATAATAGCATAGTAATGCATAATGTTTTTTTTTTTTAAAGAAAAGTGGGCTTTAATCCCTTTTATCATTTCATTTCTAATATTATTATGGGGTTTTTGTATCTAAATAATTTGCCAGATTTAGTTACATTGTTCTTCTGTAACCTTTAACTTATTTCATTAGTTTCTGCCCTTAATTTTATAATTATCAATCTTTATTCCCTTTGGATTTGTTTAAATATTTACTTTTTAGTTGCAGTTGGACACAATACCTGTATTTTTATTTATTTTTATGTGGTGCTGAGGATCGAACCCATGGCCTCACACGTGCCAGGTGAGCACTCTACCACTGAGCCACAACCCCAGGCCCTTTTGAATTTTTTATAGTTTTTTTTTTTTTTCCTTTAGGATATTTAAGACCTTCATTCTAAATATTTTCTAAGAAAAGTACCTTGTGAGGATAAAAATTTATATTCACGATTTTAAAATGTAGATGCCAAATTAAGAAAGTATAGGGATGATATATATAATTTAAAAAGTTAATGGGCTGAGGTTGTGGCTTAGTGGTAGAGCACTTGCCTAGCATTTGTGAGGCACTGGGTTCGATTCTCAGCACCACATAAAAAATAAACAAAATAAAGGCATTGTGTCCATCTATAACTAATAAAAATATTAGAAAAAAAGTTAAATTAGTGTTATTCAAACGAGTTTAAAGATCACTGACATTTTGATTTTAGAGAGTCCTTAAATGGTTTAGTTTAAAGCTAATTTTAATGACACAAAGTGATCATTTTAACATTCTCTGGTAACCAAAAGCTGGACCAAGTATCCAGGTAAACTGGCATATTTATACAGTTGAAGAGTATAAAGCAAATAACAGGAATGAACTATATACTATTTGTGTATGAACACAACATAATGTTAAGAATCCACAAAGGTGTATACTTTGTGACTCCATCTATATAAAGTTCAAAAACAGGCAAAACCAATGTATGGTGGTGAAAATCATTGTTACCTTTGGGAGTGATGACTTCAGAAAGAGCACAGAGCCTTCAGAGGAACTATTAATATTCTACTTTTTGACCTGGGCAGTGATTATACAAGTGTGTTCTCTGAGACTTTTATCAAACTATATATAGTTTTTTGTGCACTATTTTTTCAATAAAATTTACTTTAAAATATGAATAAAAAAGACTTTGTTTCTTGCTGCAAAAATAAAACCATGACATATTTTTAACATGTTCTATTTGACCTGTCTTTTATTGTTTTTGATAATAATGATGGTATTCAAGTGAACGCTGTGTCAGAATGTCATTTAGCTTTATCCTGTGCAGCCAATGCAGCTTCTTCACGCCACTTCGCTTTCTTTGCCAGGTTCCAACTTGTTAAGGATTCATGCCGTTCTGCAGCCTGCACAAAAACCAAAACAAAGCATTGTCACTTTCTGGAGTACCTTGTGTTTTAGTAAAACATATAGAAGAGATTTTGTAAAAGGAAAATAACCTAGAATGTCTGTCACGAATAATATTCATGATCAATGTTTCTTTGGTATGAAAAAAAAAAAAGTTGCTAAACTTGTAGTGGACAGAAGAGCTGATGTCAGAAATCTTTCCCCATCCTCTCACTACACACAGATTTGTTGAATAAAATATAACAAAGACATTTTCAAATAGTTAACCTCCAAATCAGTAAAGGGAATTCCTCAGGTATCAGAAATGAAAGTAACTCAAAGGATGAATTGGTGGGGAATGGGAGAGGCTGAAACCACATGGAAGGAAATGGTTTTAATCAGAGGCATTGGGGGAAAATATTGGCCTTGACAACTGTGGACTGGAAATTTAATCCAGGATTTGGATTCTGAGCATGGAGCTGAGCTACTTCTACAAAGCTGAAGAAATCAGGAAGAGGGAAGATATGACTAAAACTCCTTTCACTATCCCAGGAACAGGCAGGAAAAGTAAGCATTTATGTGAAGGGAGTAAAAATTGAAAGCAGTGTTTGTCTTTTTATTATAGAAGTCTCAGTGTTCTAACAATGTAAAGATTTGTGGAAACTAGAAAATCAATTTAGCAGGCTTTCATTTATGAAGAGTAGGTTGAAAACAAGAGATAATTGCATTTCTTTGTATTAGTGTTCAGTCCAAAGTGTTTTTTAAAGTTTCCCATTTGATAAGAAAGAAATATGTTTTTTTCCAAGCTAACAGGAATGACTGGATAGTTACATAAAAGTATGTTTATGGGCCCTAGTTCCTATATGAAGTGTGGGCTCAGATTCACTTGAGAACCTGAAAGGTAAAGGATGGAACCATAGGATTGGGCAGATTGGCTAAATGTATCCAGAGTACACGTAGGGAATAGTAATAGTAAGATTGGCTAAATATACCCAGATTTAGGTATCCAGGAAAGCTATTCTTTGTGGTGTGGCTGCATGACTGAAATGCAGTGTGCATAACTGGTGGAGCCATCATCTGTCCCCTGGGTTCAGTTTCAGGTGACAATGCAAAGGGATTCTAGGATGGTAAGTTAGAGTCCAAAGAGAGCTCCTACATGGAGACTGGCAAAGAGAGAGAAGTTAAGACTGGAGAAGGGAGACTCAGCAGTGTTACACATCTCCCAATATTTTGGGGACTACTCTTGATGGTAAAAAGTGACCAGCAGATGGAAAGATTTGGGAAGGCAGAGAACAAAATTCTAAAGTTGTCAGCTCCTAACTTCTCTCTAACCGTATCAAGCATACACCATACATTGAAGTTGGCAAGCAGACACTCACAAACAGGACACAAACAATCTAGATGACCTTGGCAATCACTTCGACTTGTATAGTTCTTTTTCTTAATTCTATGCAATAGCTAATTGAGTTCATAATGTAAGAAACCATCTATCTAGTCTGCATAATTTTCACAGGACAAAGTTCTTGTGCAGATTTTCAACTAGGTTATAAACTGTCCTGGTTTTGTTTCTGCTTAGTTTACAAGTGGAAAAAAAGTCCCCACCCCTGTCTTGGCCATATAGTTAAATTACTGGCCCAAATTTCTATGCATAAATTTGTTTCTAGTATGATAGATACAAGATACCAGATTTCAAAAGACAAATTTGTCTTACAGTAATGAATGGCCATAATCCTGGAATTGAAAATATGTCATAACATTCCTTAAAATTCAGTCTTTTTTCTTTTTCTGTAGTGCAGGAGTTGAACCATGGCCTCACATTTGCCTAGCATGCATTCGACCAGTGAGCCACATCCCAGCACACAACAGATCTGTCTTTAAGCAGGCACTCACCCTTTTGGCTGATGCTATCACTGCAAAGCAGGCAATAATTGTGAGTCCTATCATTATGTAACAAGCTTTCACTCGGGCTTTGTTTCTTGCAGCATCTATCATTTCAGGCCTAAACCAAGATATGAATTTTGTTAATTATGTTAAAGTAATACAGTTTTCTGATAGTCATGATAATTATTTGTTAAAGGGATATTCAAAAAATATCCCTGAATGTAAAACAGACATGAAAATCATTCAAATGCTAGTCCATTAGTATTACCAATTTTAAATTAGCAGTTATTTATTCAGATCTTAGAATAATTAACCACTATGAGATCACTGTCTAGTATATTTAGTTTCTAATTGCTCAAAATATAAATACAAGAGATTATGGTCCAACTGTGGTTTTTATTCACCAAAAGGAATAAGGGTTACAGCCTGTGTATGTCTATGATTCATATTAATTTAGCTTATATGTTAAATAGGCCTTGGGTTTTCATTTTAAATGGGTTAGTCTTTAAAACTCACTTTCAACACTTTGCTTTTTTCACTAGCCTTCCAATCTCTCTCTCTCTCTCTCTCTCTCTCTCTCTCTCTCTCTCTCTCTCTCTCTCCTGGGGATTGAACCCAGGGATGCTTAACCTCTAAGCCACATCCCTAGTCCTTCTTATATTTTATGTACATACAGGGTCTTGTTAAGTTGCCGAGGCTTACTTTGAATTTATGATCCTTCTACCTCATCCTCCCTAGTCACTGGGATTACAGGTGTGCACCACCACCACAGTACCCAGCTCCAATCTCTTCTTGCCCCCTCCCATCCTATTACCCAAAGACACTATTATATTATGAATGACTATTAGAGAAAGGGTGTTTCCTTCATAGCTTTTGCAGGAAGTTTAAAAGAAGTGACCCAAATTATAATAATTTGTTAAAGAAAAAAACAAAGGCACCTTCATTTTTTTTTATTATTCTGAAGTGTGATATACTCATTAAAGTACTGGGCTATCTTATTAATAGTTACATTCTAGTTGTCCAGGATTTTAGCAACACTAATTACAAAGTAATGTTACAAGAAGAATCACGGATAGAGAACTTTTATATTGAAATTAACTGTAAACTTTGAAATTTGCAATAATATGAAGTGGCAGTTTATAAATATGCATAATCAAAGTACTTGATTCTTGAGAATATGTTCAATGACATTCTTTTCTACCTAATGTCAAATTTAAATACAGTGCAGTTACATTAAAAATTCTCCAGGAAGACAAGTTACAATTTCTCTTAAAAATGAAAAACTAACTTTTCTACTAATTGAAAGGTTACAGAAAGCAATATTAAGCTTATTTTCCTTAGATTTCTGGGCAGAATAACATAAATTTTAAGATGTTAGTTGTGACAGGTTCAATTAGTGTCTATGGAGACATTATTAGGTTTTATTTCCTGCTACCTTTTGTTCCAGATGGAACTTAAAAGATCTTGTCTTTTTGACCTATCCATCTGGCTTTGATTTATTATATCAAATTAGTTTAACACAGCAAAAATTTAAAAAAATAGCATGGTTATTAAATAGAATTAATGTATGGTACAAAAATTATAGGTCACTTAATTACATGTCCATTAAGAGCATAAAAAGGGAAAGTTGTTTATATTTCAGAACTAACAACAGGAATATCCCTCCTAAATAGCAAGACTTTAAAAATTTGTTTAAAACTACAAACATGGCACCTTGTTCATTGTTAAATGCTCCTGTTCATAATATGTCTTTTGACTGTAATCCTTAGGAAATTAAATTATTTTGGTAAAATGGGTCTCTTCCCACATTTAACTATGTTAATACTGAATTAAGCATAGGATCTCTTTATAAGCATTAATTTACAGTGGGCTGCTTTTTTACAATCTTCATACCAAGCAAAACAAGATTTGTTTTATAATAACAGCAAATGTCTCTACTGTTGAATAAATACAGAAATAGGCTCCAAAAGCCATGTTATTTCAATTTCATGTTCGTTTCCAATTTAAAAAACTCTGAATCCAAAAAGGAATAAAAATGCTTCAGAATTCATTGTTGAGAATACATTTTTCCACCACATGTTTTTTTCTCCCCCATTTATTTGAGGTGCTTTGAGTAACTGGTAAACTAAGGAGCACCAAAACTAAAAGCGACGTGTGAAGAACAAGACACAAGCCCCGTTTCCATCATCTATGTATTCTAATGAGCATTCTAATGAGTAAAATACAATATATAGAATATCTCTAATTTTTTTCAGCATTGTCGCTTCAGACTTCCTATTTTTTAACGATCAGTTTTAAAACTAGCAGATTGATTTTATTCTTAGTTTCCTTCTCTTTTGTACCCCTTCTCTTGTAAAAGTCCTGTAAATTTGGCGGGGGTAGGGTGGAGTGGTGGTGGCATTAACTGAAATGATGTAATGATGTTTTTTTTTGCAAGTTACATATACTTATTTTTTAGAGGTGACATTACCCTGGCTGGGAAGTTGCTAGTTTTGAGTTTTATCATTTAGCCACCGTCTTGATGGGCTTAGGACAATGAGGATACTTCTATGTGTCCCAACTCCAGTAAACCTGGTACCCAGAGGGCTGCAGAATCACGTTCACCACAGGCAGTCTCCCTCCGCGCAGAGGAGGAGGCTGCCTGGATGAAGATTCTTCCCAGAGACCCTCCAGCAACTCCGTAAGCCATGATCAGGGAACTTTTTCCTTGATTTAGCGGCGACTCCTCAAGTTCAGGGCCCCTTCTCGCTCTCCAGGGCCCCCGAAGTCACCAGGGTGCTGGCGAGAACCGTGCCTTGTGTTTGGCTTAAATGATCTGGGAGCTCTGGGTATGTGGGCATAATAGAAGTGTCCAATGGTTTTCCGAAATCTGCAACTTCTGCAATCTCCCTATAAATTTAGGTGCCCACTGTCCAGTCAAGGGATTTGATGCATCGGAGGTGGGGGTAGTAATTTTCTTAAGGTGGCGGGTGTGAGTGTGAAAAACTGGCCCTGCTCCTTGGCCCCAGGGTATGGCCTCCCGAAACCTGGGCCGAGACATCCGCCACACTTACGGAACCCGAGGCGGGATCTCCTCTATCGATTTGAAACGGCCGGTCCACACCAGGATTTTCTTGTCGAATTGTGTGGGCTTGTGCTGGGCGAGGACCCTGTGAACCTTCCCTGCAGCAAAAGCGACAAAGATGGACAGAGGTAATGACGGACCCAAGGCACCGAGGATAAGCGCGATCAAGCCTCGACCCTCAGCCCTGGGCCCCTCGCCCAGCCTCCCTTTGTCCCCTTTTCCCCAAGATAGTCCCTCCCTTTCACTGGCTCACCGTGACTTTGGGCATCAGGATCGCTGCGGGTCTCACCACTGGAGTAGCGAGGGAGACCACAGAGCTGGAGAGCGGTTACCCGCAGACGAGCGGCTGCTGGAGACGCCCCTGGGGCGCAGCGGACCACGCACCCCGAGCCCAAGCGCAGGAGGCTCCCGACGGCCGAGAGCATGCTGCCTGCTTTTCCGGTACCGCCAGCCGCACCCGCACCCACTGATTCACCAGAGCGATCTCCCTCCAGCCCGTCCCGCTCCACCCCACCCCACCCCGACCTGGGGAACCCGGGATCTGCAGCTGGGACTGACGACTTGAGCTCCCTCTGGCTTGCTGTCCCCGCCCCGCGGATGACCCAGGACCACGGGGCCAGGGGAACTGATTCCCCAGGGAGCGGCCTGGTTGGGTTTGAAAACTCTGAAGTGTGCAGGCTCACAACCTCCTGAGACAGCTTGTGCTGTTCATTTATGAAATATCTCTTCGTATCAAGATTTGTGTTTCTATCAGGTTTTTGGTCTTTGCTTCCACCGTTTATGCAAAAGAGCTTAAATCCATCTAAACCCTTTCCTCAAGAAAGAGAAGTCAGTTCTTCAAGTGCAGGAACGTTCAAATATTTACCAAGGAAGAGTAGGGGCACTCACCAAACTTCGACTTTTCCCATAGGGAAACTGTTTGAAATTAGAACTTCCCACCCAGACCTCCACGTTTTTTCTCTTTTTTTTTTGGGGGGGGGGGGCAAAACTATCTCAGTTCCTACAACAGTTTTTCTCTGTTTTCACTTCTTGGTAAGCCCATAAACCTTCTAACTCCCTCCCTAACGTGCCTTTCTTCTGTTACTTTCCACTATCTCCCCTCTGCTCAAAGTGGGGAGAATTACTCTACTTTAGCACTAAATGGGAAGAGGGACTCCGACTCAAAGGCTGGAGAGAGGGATGTAGATAGTCCTATACTTTGAAGAAATATTTATTGTATTCCTCAAACAACAGACTCCGCCAAGAGAAAGCGTTCCTCAGCATCCCCTTCTTCCCACTTATCGCCCCTGAGTTTCCTTCCACACTTAGATGCTGCTTGGTGCTTGTCACTGGATTTCCAGAAATTTTCTTCCTAAATAGATCAGGCTCTTGAGGGTAAGAACTTCTCTGTAACTCTGAGCTGAATGCCTTTCACTATCAGTGTTTATCTATAAAGACTGATTAGTAATTCTGTAAAGATATATGCATCTATAGGACTGGCTGTAGAAAAAACTTCAACATTGCCTTCACACCTAAATTTAAATCTCATATTTGTGGCTTAAGAGTTACAAAATCATGGACAAATTATTTAAGTTATAAATCTTGGTCTCATTTAGTAGAATCAGAATTCCTACCTGTCATTCATTCATGCAATGACTACTCCAAACCTACTAGGTGCCTGCTACTACTCAGAGCTGGGGCTAGAGCAATGACAAGGTCAGTTGGGGCTTGTGGATTAAGAAAAATGAAGCATGATGGGGGGGAAAAAGTGAGCAAGGGTGTGATAAGGGGTAGGAGTGGATGCTATTAAGAAAGAATAGATAGGGATGCCCTTCTAAATGTGTCTGGCACATAATAATTTGTCAAAATACATAGTTTCTCAGGGCATGGTGGCACATGCCTATAATCCCAGAGGCTAAGACTGAGGCAGGAGGATCTCAAGTTCAAAGACAGCCTCAGCAATTTAGCAAGGCCCTAAGTAACTCAGTGAGACCCTGTCTCTAAATAAAAGAGAAAAAAGAGACTGGGCATGTGGCTCAATGGTTAAGCACCCCTGGGTTCAATCTCTGGTACAAAACAAAAACATTTAGTTTCTTTCCTTCAAATAGTCCCAGAACTCAAGGGCATTTTAATTCTCTGACCTGAAGAAAGTGTTATTTATTATATTCTCAGAATATATCTGAAAAATTGACACTATTTAATAAGTATTTAAGTAATGATGAGATAAATGCAGTCTTCACAAACTGACTCTATCCACACTTTAAGCAAAGACTGAAGTACTTGACAATCTATGTCCCTTTCAACTTTGTATCTCCAGTGACTATTATGTTGCTTAGCACATAGCAGTCTCTAAGTAAATATTTATGGAACAGAACTGAATCAATTTCTGTTTTAGAAAGTATGTTGCCATCAGTGATATCTGATTGTTCCACCATTATGCTAACTGACTATTCAAATATGGGTCTTTTTCTTTTTGATATTTTACTTGTCTTTACATCACTGGGAATATTCATAGAGTTAGAGAAAACTATCTCTGAGAAACAACTAGTTATTAATAGTTCACCAAGAAGTATTAAATTAGCTAAATAAATTTGTTTCTGTGGAGACAGCCAGATGTCATGTGGACATATCCAGGCATCTCTAGCACCAGAGACCTACAGGGCTAGTGAACAAGGCCTCAAGTCATGAGAAAGAGAACTATTTGCATTCTGTTCTTTATCCCTAATGGGATTAAAATATCATGTTTTGGCAGTGCTCTGCATAAAATAAATTACTTACAGCTGCATAAGAGATGTTTTCTTTAGTGCTACAATTAGAACATGTTAAAAAGAACTCGAATCAACTTCTAATAGAACAAAAAGATAATTGTATTCTTTTATGTCTTTTTCTAACAGGGCAGCACATTTATTCATTTAATAAGTATTTATGTTCTGGACAATGTTGCAGACTATGAGGTTGGAGCAGATAATCAAAGGAAATTCTCTGCCTCTTCAAGAGCTTCTGATTAATCCAAGGCAGTTTCAGTTTGCTCATAGTGTTCTATGTTCTTTTTCAATCCAAATCTCCATGCAATTTGTTTGAATATACTATTTTTAGTATTGTTCCTTCAAGACCTGCTTTTTGGTATGGTTTATATTTCCTTCAGCTACTGTAGTTACTTTTAAGATACACTTTCCTAACTAGGAATAGATTTGATGCAAATAGTTTTTACTTTTTTTTTCTTTTAAAATTATTATTCAAAAGCTGGTGTATTCTTTGCTTCTGATTTGAGTATCTAACTTACTGTATCTGATTGTCATTTGTTAGTCTGTAGTTGATGTTAAAAGTTAATTTATGAATTCATGAACATCCCATACTACACCAAAGGCAGTCATAAGAGAATTGCAATGCTCTGGAGCATTTATTGTAAGGAGGCTCGTTTGTGTGCAGTGGGTATAGTTGTCTTCATTGTCATGTTACTTTTTAATATTAAACACCTAAGCTGCCATGTATTTTTTTTCCACAGTTTTCAAGGAAGAGCACAGAACAATTTCCCATTTCATATTCATAGTATGAAAGTGAATTCTATTTTGAAAAAAAAAAAAAAGCTGTTGTAATCTGTGCTGGGCTAAGGTGGGGAATGCAAAGAGCGAGGGGCCCAGCTGCCCCTAAGGAGCTGTCAGTCTGGCTAGAATGATGTTCCCTCATCAGCAAATGTTCTACTGCCAACGGGGGATTTAGAAGGAACCTTAAATAACTTGTTTTCCCATTTTCTACTGGTCCTTTCATTGGAGAAGGTTCTAGAGAGACAGTTTACCTGCAGAGCCAGATTACAGTGGTCTCCAGTGCTTTGGACATCCTTATCAAGTTTGGGCTTGATAACCCACTAGGCACCAAGCGTGTACTAGCAACAGAAAGAGAAAGAAAGAAAGGAGGGAGGGAATGAATGAATGAATGAATAAGGGAGAGAGAAAGATGGGTGAGGAGGGAAGAAGAGAAAGAAAAAAAGAAGAAAAGAAAAAGAGGGAAAATTTTGGAATTATTCTGAAATTTAAATTATTCTTTTTAAAAAAATTATGGAATTATTCTTTTTAAAAAAAACTTTAAGGAAATATCAGAAGTTTCTTGAAGGTCCTTATACTTACATCTTAAATATATGTTAGCTTACAAATTGGGGAAGACCATACCATTGCAACACCTGAGGATGCCAAAGGTCTTCATTTGACCAAAGCTGATAACATCAAAACCTGATTATGATCTTTTGAAAAATCCAAATCTATCCAGGTAAAACCTTCCAGTGGTTCCATATCATACTTAGGACAAAATGTGAACTCTTTATTAACATCTAAATGACCTCTCCAAGTTCAGTTCTGACCACTGTCTCCATTTTCCACCTGTTCCAGTCACACTAGGCCCAGCACACTAGAGTTTCACAAACAGGACTAACTAACTTGCATCTCAGGGCCTTTGCTTTTGCCTCATGTGTTTGCCTCCTTGTCAATTTTTAGGTCTCAGTGCAGCTGTCACTACTTCATAGAGGCCTTTCCTTACAAACGTAGCTCCCCTCCCCACCTCCCTTTCATAGATCTCAGAGTTGTTCTCTACTGCATTACCTTGTTTCTGTGTGGGAGTTGCCATTCTTTGTACCTTACTATGTATTATCTGTCTGCTACCAGAAGGCTATCTCCATGACCAGCATAGTGATATAGCATAGTGCCTGCCACATCTGGAGGTTCTCAGATACACATTGGATAAAGGAATGCCATAGCCACAGCCTCAAGGAATGCATACATGAATGACACCTGCTGCTGCTTAATCTCATTCCATTAAGATTCTCAAAAGAGGGGCTGGGGCTGTGCCTCAGTGGTAGAGCACTCGCCTCGTACATGGAAGGCACTGGGTTCGGTACTCAGCACCACATATAAATAAATAAATAAAATAAAGATATTGTGTCCATCTACAACTAAAAAAAAAAAATTCTCAAAAGAGTGCTGGGGTCATGGCTCAGCGGTAGAGCGCTCGCCTATATGTGTGACTCCCTGGGTTTGATCCTCAGCACCACATAAATAACTAAATAAGATAAAGGTATTGTGGCCTACAACTAAAATAGTTAAAAAAAAAAAAAGATTCTCAAGGAGGAGGAGGAGGAGGTCGTCCAAATATCAGTCTGACAAATACATTCCGAAGAAAACAGATTGGATTATCTGCTTCTGCAGATAAAAACTGTTCCAAGTCTTTTATATTTTCTGTAATATGTAGTTTTTATTTGTTCTAGAAATAGAAAACATGAAATTCTTGCACATTTATGAAATACAATCTATGCAAACAGGACACCAGACAGCAAAAAGTCATACATCCATCTGCAATGACCATGTTCTTCACCTTCCTTAGGTGAAGAATCTTCACCTTCTAGCCGAATGATTGTGTTTGTAGTCTGGTTTGATGGTTATGGACACTCTTTTTAAAAATTTTTTTATTTTTTAATTTGTTTTAATTAGTTACACATGACAGTACAATGATCTTGACATATCGTACATGTGA